AAATGGTCTAAAAGATTGAGAGACACTTAATCATCTTGGTAAAGTTATTATAACAATTTTTTGAAAAAATAAACCTCATAATCTTGAAGCAATTCTGCCATCAACTAGCAGCTTATTTTTAGACGAACTTTTTGGTTGACTTTCTGAATACTAATTTTGTTATTCTAAACAGTAAAAAGTGCATCATATAATACAGACCTAAGATCATCTCTATTTTTTTAAATATTATATTTTTTATTAGTACCACAATTATACTCTTCAAAAAATTTTGATTTATTCTATAATTTTTCCAGCCAACAAAATTTAGAATTTTTTTTTCGATCAAGTCAACTTTGCCAACTTTTTGAATAAAGTATTCTTCGATAAAAAAATACTAAATGCGTATCCATCAAAATATTCAACCTAATTTTTTTTATTTTTCTTTTTTCTAAATATGATTAACAAGGTTATAAAAGGTTCTACAAAAGGCGAGGATATGTAAGAAAAATCTTTTCTGACCTGCAACTTTATAAAATTTTGGATAAAAAAACTTTAACGTCATAAATAATTTTTATAACATCTTTTTGTTAAGGTGGTAGTACACCAATAAAAGTGAAAATTTTTTTTTTTTTTTTACTTTTATTATTTAACCAATATAATCATCGCAGATTTCGAATTTTTAGTTAATTAAATAAAAAAATAGTTTAATTAAATAAAAAAAGCTTCACATGTTAAAAGCTGTTTATAATGTATAGGTATAAAATAATTTTTATTTTCCCCCTAGCAACGCTTTGTTTATTCCGTTGTTATGCGCTTCAGAAACAAGTTAAAACCATAAAAAAGCCATAAAATACTTACCCAGCCAACTATTTTAAGTGCAAAGTTGTAGAATGCAACAACCTCTTGTTAATTAGTTCAGTATGATGGCTTTATTGACGTAATTCGCTTTTTGTTTCAAGCTGCATTCAAACTTTATTATTTATGCTGTAGTATATCTTTTATCTTTTTACAATAAAGATAATATGGGCGGATCAAAGAGAAAACAATTATCAAGCAAAATATACAATAATAAAAAAGCAAAATTTCGTGGAAACAGATATGCAAAGATTCCTTCTTCAGAAACGAAAACTTTATCTTTTGTTGAATCTGCTACACATTCTGCTTCTTCAAAAAAATTAAATATTGCTGATAGAGATTTTCAAGATTTTCAAAGTACAGATTTTAACTTTGTTATGAACTTTAGTCTGTTGGAAAACGTTATATCGTTACTTAAATGCCCAAATTTGTGTGAAGATAATCTTTTTTTAATGTTTGATTCGTCAAAAAAGTATGGTTTGAGTATTGGTTTAAAAATATGCTGTAACAGTTGCAATTGGAAAACTAAGTTTTTTTCATCTGCTATATTTTGTAAAAAAAATTTTCTTGAACAACAAGAGCCTAGTAAAAGCAAATGTAGTGGGCAAAAACCATTTGATATTAACACACGTGTCATTGTGGCTTTTCGTGAAATGGGTAAAGAGTTATCGTCATTAGAAAAATTTTGTGGAATAATGAATATGAAGCCACCTATGAACAAAAAAAGCTACAATAAAACTTTACATAACCTGTTAGATGTTTATCAAAATTTAGTTGACCAGAACATGAAAAATGCTGCTGATGAATTAATCCCTGCAGGTGAAACATTAAGAGACATTATGTGTAGCTTTGATGGTTCATGGCAAAAGCGTGGTTTTACTTCAAATAACGGAGTTGTTTCTGCAATTTCAGTTGTATGTGGTAAATGTATTGACTTTCAAATAGAAACAAAAACATGTAAACTATGTTCAATATGGAAGTTAAAAAAATACACACATCCAGTTGAATATGAAAAGTTCCAGTCATCACATTTCCAAAAGTATAAAGTTAGTCATACTGGATCATCATAGGCTATGGAATCAAGTGGTGTTTTAAAACTTTTTAAAAATAACTGGAAAACAAACATACAAAGAAAATATTTGTATTCCTGCTGCTGTGAGGGATTTTATAAAACCATTATTTATAGATCTTGGTAGTGATGTTCTTTTAGAAAAGTGTTTGCACGGCAAAACACAGAATCCTAATGAGGCGCTGAATCAATTGATTTGGAAGCGGTTTCCCAAAGATATATTTGTAGAAAGAAGTGCTTTATGTGTTGGAGTAGCATCAGCTGTCCTATACTTTAATAATGGACTACAGTTTTTAGAGACGTTATTTGATAAGCTTGAAATAACGTAGGTTGCAATCTACATAACTTTTGTCTTATAAATGACTCTAAGCGCATTTCTAAAGCAGAAAAACAATGCACAAGTATAGTGAAATTGAGACGCAAGAAACAAAAGAGCAATACAAAAAGGTTTTTGTGATCAAAACGAAACATTAGAAGGTGCAGTTTATGGAAGTGGGGAGTTTTGAACAATTTTTTTTTATTTTTAAATTGAGTTTTTCTCAAAATTATGTTTTATACTCTGGCGACGGAGATATTTTTCAAACCGATAACCGATTTGATCTGAAATTTGGCACACTTGTTTGTAACACATGTATTTGCAACCTCTACTAGAATTATGTTTACAACTAATTGTGTTCTACTTTTGTGAGTGATTTTGTGTTCTCAAATAACACCAAAACTTCCAAATATGACTAAAATGCATATATTTTGACTTTTTTTGGTAAACAAGCCAAATTTCAGTTCAAATTTATTTACAGTTGCTGAAAAAACCCTGTCGCCAGTTATTCATTTTTAGGCTTTTGTCTGTCAATAATTATGCGCATAATTAATTTTTTTAACTTTTTATTTATATTTTAATCATATAATATATGTTATGTACTATTAATAATTGAAAAAAAAAGTTAAATTGCAAGATTTTTTTTAATGGTATACTACCACCTTAAGGTGGTATACCCCTCAGAAATATCAAATTTTTCAAAAAAAATTTTGTTGTTTTATTTTATTCAAAATTTATTATAGAATCATATTCTGAAAACCATTTTTTAAAATTCAGTATATAACTTGAGAAAAACAAACTTTACTGAACCTTACTTTTTTAAGCGCCCTTGACAACCTCCATAGCAACGGTTAAATTTTTATTTGGCTAAGAAATTCTCCCCAAACTTATTATCTTAATACTGTGAAAAAAGCTTGCTGAAATGAGTTATTAACGTGTTTCTATTTTCCATTCATCAAAACATCTGTAAAAGTAAAAGCAATAACCGGATTTCTCATAATTTTCTTGCAGAAGTTTCTTTAAAACGAATTGTCACTTTAAAGTTATATATATCTATGCATCTGTTTATGTTTATATAAACTAAACCTTATACTTTTAATGGGTAGAGAATGTGTGAAATGCGCTACTCAATAAAAAAAAAACTCAAAAAAAAGGAATTCATGAAAACCAATATACTTTAAATAAAACAAATTCAGCAAATACTAGTCTTCTACCTTCTACAGATTAACAGAGCTCAATAAATGTATCTTATTCCAAGATAAACCCTAAAAATACTTCTGCAAATTCTAATAAAAAAAATATATGTGGATACAGAATAATTGATTGCACTTTATTAGCCATTGTTATTCAGTAACTGATTTGCATATTTTTCTCTTTTTTAATTTTTAAAGTCTTTATTTGCTATTTTCTATTTTTAAATCTCCCGTCACAGTTATTTAATTTTCTAGTAATCAGTTTTTAACCAAATTTTCAGCAGTGATGTGTTTTTATATGATACATGCAATCTGCCAAAAATTAATTATAAAACATTTCAGAGTTTGAGATATTGCTGTTTCAGCACTAAAAAAATTGTTTATTTAAAAATCTTCATAATCCGTGTAGTGCTACATGGAAACTAATAGTCAGATTTAAAAAATTTTGGCAGATTGCATAGATCAAACTGTTTTTTATCATTGGGCCAAGTTTTACTATGAACACTCTATTAGAATTTGAGATATTTTTGACAGTGCGATGTGCATATTTTCTTATATCCGCCATTTTAGGTGGTTGTCATGACAACATAATCACCTGTAATTTTATAAATCAATTTCGTTTAATAAGATCTTTCATAGGCTTATTTTTAATTTTGACTATAAGATTTCACTTCCAAGATAATTTTGAAGGGGGTATACCACCTTAACTTGAATGATAGCTTCGTATTTCTAAGAATATGTACTCTACAACCTCATCTCTGATATATAAGGCAGCAAAGATCGCTTATAACAAGAATGTTTTTTTTCATGAAGTTATCTGTAAAACACGTTTTCTTGACATCAATTTATGCATTTATTTGCTACGTTAAAGAAACACTATTTGAATGTTTGCGTTGTTATGTGGCCTTTGAATTTATGCTCCAATTACATTTTATCATACACTGGGGGAATTAAATTTAGTTGAAGCGTTTCAATTCCCAATTTCAATAAGAAAACAACTGACATTATTGATAAACTTATTGTTTTTAAAAAAATTATCTGATTCTAGATCTAATATAAAATAATCGATGAAGTGTTCATCTGTTAAGCTCGCCATTTTAGATTATTGTGCACTTATTGGTAGTCTGGGCAAGATAAATAAACTATTTCAACGTAAGTTTAAAATTTCAACTTTTACTGTTAAAAAACAAAAGTATCTTTGGTCAGACTCTGTTATTATGGCTATGGTATAATTACCCTTTTACGCCAGTATTTGAAACAGTTCAACGCATTTGTATTAGTATTAATTTTTTACTAAAAAAAGAAAACTTAAAGAAATTTCTGAATCTTGTTTTCAGATATGAACTTGATTTGAGTAAACGCTGGTTTGGACTACATGTAGAAGATAGAGTTTCTCTAAAAGAAAGACATTCAAAGGCAGAGTGGATATCGTATTTCCGTGTACAGAAGATGCACTTAAGCGATGTAAAAGCGCAGTTTTACACAGAAAGATTAAAAGATTTTTTTTCTTCCATGGGTACAGAGTCAAACAGCGTGAAAAAAAGTCGAGTGTTTTATTATTAGATCTCAATAAAACATTTTAGCACTATTTAGTACCTTTTAAAAAATTTTAAAAAATTATTTTGACAAAGTGTTCTAAATAAACTAAAAACTGTGATTTATTGGAACTGCTCATGTGTATCATCTCCTTTATTATTATCAGGAGAAATGACCATATTTCGAAAAAAATTCATATTAGATTTCCCATCCATTCCGTGGTTGACCGTAGAAACTTTCTTTTGCTTTTTTCTTTCTTTTTCTTGTAACTTTTCCAATTTTTTAAGTTCTCTTTCTTGTTTTGCTTGTTCTTTCAACTGCTTTTTTATATCTCGATCTTGTTTCACATTTTGAATCCCGCTATATTGCGAGTAGGGATAAACACCGACGTGCACAGGAGGTCGGACTTGATCAGAATACTCGTATGGAGGATAAAAATTAGGCGATGAAGCAACTGACTCCATAAAAGGATACCCAGTTGAACCGTGTACATTAGGAAATGCTGGAGATGGTCTATACTGTTCCTGCTGACGCGGACAATAAGGCGTAGAACGCATTGGATAAAATCCTAATGAAGAGTTCGTACTATGATTGTAGCTATGAGATTGTAGCCCTATTTGTTGGGGTGGAAGACAACCAGGCGACGAGAAACGTTGAGATTGAGTGTATGATGGCTCGTAACCTGAATTTGAAAAATAATTGCCGTGAATGTTATTAAATTGTAACCGTGAAGAGTGTGGGTTCATATCTTGTGTTGAAGTAATGTTATGAAAACTTGCATTAAAACTACTGTTTTGATTTAGAGTTTGGATGGTAGTGCAACCTAAACTGCTAGCTGATGAAAAGCTTTGACATAACGTAGATGGTGATGAGTGATGAATAAAAGTTGAACTGGTATTTTGCGTAGATGGGTTTGGCATTTCTGTTACCTTGTTTTTTAATAAATTATTGTATATTTCACGAGGGTGCAAAGGAACAGTGGAAGTTTTCAAAAACGGTACCGGTTGTATTATTGGTTGCTGTTGCTGAATATTACCGGATGTTTTCGTGGGTGAACCTGAAGGAGATTTCGACTTGATAACTTGATTAAAACGTTCTCGAGGATGACAAAAAGCACTTGGTTTGTTTGCCTGTTGTATTACTGGAGAAGATAAAATGGTATTAGCGACAGTAAAAGTCATACAAATAGTATTCGAGTCGCCTTCATTTAATTCCTTTTTAGTCGGTGAAGGTTTTAAAACTTTTACATTGTCCAGCGACTTAATACCACTATGTTCTATTGGTTTTACTTGGCCATTGTCGGCAAGCGTATTTTGAGCAATTGGATCTCGACACTGCCCTTCATCTCCGTTTTTATTATGAGTCTGCTCCTCATTCAAATTTTGAACGACTGGTTTAGAGTCTGTGACTTGCTTATCTTTATCAGAGTTAACTTCAATTGAACTTTCTTCGCTCAAATCGTAATCCTCGTCATCTTCTTCACTATCATCTTCACATAAATTAACTTTGTTTTTCACTTGGCGATGTCTTAAAGTACGTCTTGGTTTTGGGCTATCGCTAACTTCGCTATTCAAATCCTCGCTTTCTGATTCACTAGATGGCTCATCTCCGATCCATTCGTCGCCTTCTTCTACATTAATACTTTTTATGGAGCCTTCGTTTTCACTTGAAAACGCAGTTTCATCGTACCTCGTCACTTTGCGCTGACGTAATCGCCGTTTAGGGATTTTAGAGTCAAAACCGTCGCTTTCACTTTTGTTACTGCCTTCGTCATCGTCATCAATATTTAAACGTTTCCGGCGGGTTTTAAAGCGTCGACTGCTTCTCAAGTGTTTATTTCTGTGGCGTTCTTCTGTTTCATCAAGATGATCATTTATAAAATGTTTCATATCATCACGTTGATCACTGTCGTAGTTGCTAAATGAATTATCGCCGCTATCATAATCATCTTCATTGTCGGTGTCCAGATCATTTAGTTTTCGCCGCTGACGCTTTTGCTTCGTATTTCTAGAATGTAAATTAAAAGATATTGAATACTCTCATTAGATGTATATACAAACTTTCAATAAGTTAAGTGTAAATATATTTATTGAGATTACGGAAAAAACATGGCATCGATTAGCAATATAAAATTTATTATTCAAAATTATAATATACATTTCCTGAATCTGAGTTAAAAAAATTATTTAACTTATAAAATTCAAAAAAGCAATAAATATCAAAAATGACGTCATTTGTATTATGTTATGGAATTTAACACTTGCAACTTGACCAAGAAGAAACATCAATAAACTTTATTGGTTACGAATCATAACAAATAATGGTAATTTTAGCAAATACTTGCGTACCTTGCGGACACTCGACCACACGGTAATAACTCTTTTTCATCTTTGGCGTTAACCGCTTTCTTAATCATCTCGTCGTATTCAGAAAAATTATAATCAATACGTTTTGCACCACGACCAGAACGCCTAGTTGCGTTGTCTTCGCTTGTCTGCAATTCAAAAAAAAGATTCAAAGAATTTTAAATTAAATAAGTACAAAATGACACAAATACAGACATTAGTTACTTATTGAACACGCTAATCGGACATCGTAGTTTTTATTTTTTTAAATAATTATCGTGCATGGTGTTTATTTATATTTTAATTACTACAAAAACCTCACTTCGTAACTCAATAAATACCGGGGATAAGAATATTACTTTATTTTGACCTATTTTTTATAATAAGTTTAATTCGGCATTAGCTAAGGAAAAAACATCGCATCACCTGAAAAATGTTAATTTTTTTAGTTATACACATTGTATTCTGGTAAGTGTATTCATTGAAAGCATAAAAAAAAAAAGAACAAAACGCACTTTAATGTTTTGGTTTTTTAGCAATAAATTTTGTTTGACAATGCACAATCAATTCATAATTATAATATAAATATAAATTTATAAGAAAATTTAAAAATAAAAGTTTATTTGCAATTTTTAAAGGCTTTAAAATAACTGTTTTATCTATGAAGATTACATCAGTTTTATAATTCAAAAATATTTATTTTTGAAAAATCAATTTTAATTAATTTCGATATAGTTTTTTTTTTCATAATTAAAGATGAAAATTAACACAAACAATTCCACAACGCACATTATTTCTTTGTTCCAGTAATAATTATAATAGTAATAATAGACGGTAAAACCCTGTTTCTTATATCCAACTGATTTATAAAAAAAAGCAGCGACAAGTATTCGAATGGCTTCTCAAACACCCGTATGAACAACAAGTATTCGAATGGCTTCTCAAACACCCGTATGAACAACAAGTATTCGAATGGCTTCTCAAACACCCGTATGAACAACAAGTATTCGAATGGCTTCTCAAACACCCGTATGAACAAGAGACATTTAAACACCAGCTCCGGAGTTAGGTTTGCGATAAATATCCTTTATTTATATAGGTACGAACAAAATGATTTTTCATATATCATAACTTATGAGAAATCTGTGTCAAAAGAGAATCTGTTTTTTGACCAGCAAGAATATTCGTTTCGAATTAAATTTAATTTTCAATTATTTTATTTGGAATTTTAAAGAAACGACAAAAGTTTAAGCCCAACACTTTTTTAAATAATGCAAATACTAGAATATAGTTCTTGTATTTGCATTCTATAATTCAAACAAATTTTGCAAATACAATTACCAGAAAGCATCACGTAAATTATGGGAACGAATATTATTAATAAAAAATGAATATAAATCAGAAAATAACAGTTTGTAACAAACTTTAAAAAATTATGCTTTTTTATTATTTGGAAGACAACTTTTTTATACTACGCATCTCACTATCTTTCAAGACGTTTTTTCTTTTTCTTTTGGAAGAGATAAAACATAAAAGTATGAAATAATATTTTATTTTTTTAAAGAAAAACATATTAAAACAAACTTTGTAAGTACCTATATCCTCTGTGTGTGTCTATATATATACATATATATATATATATATATATATATATATATATATATATATATATATATATATATATATATATATATATATATATATATATATATATATATATATATATATATATATATATATATATATATATATATATATATATATATATATATATATATTCTTTCATTAGGATAGAGTAAAAAATAAAAAAAAAGTTGTTACTTCTTTAAAAAAATGTCTTTAAAATTTTATTGTGATTGAAACAGATTTAGGGGTCTCAATTTATTTTTAAGACAACACAAATATATGGTAAGATAAACAAATTCTCATCTAATTATGCAACTAACTCACTGATTGGCTTTAAGCCTGTTATTAGTATTAAGTATACACCAACTTGAATTTATATTTCGCTTCTTAATGTTGTTGATCCTGTAATTAAACTATCATTTATTTTAAATTTTTTTCTAAAAGAAATTTTATTGCAATGGAGTAAACATATTAGCTACTGCAATGTTGTTAGCTACTGCAATGTTGTTAGCTACTGCAATGTTGTTAGCTACTGCAATGTTGTTTCCCAACAAAAATTTCATAAATTACTCTTAAAGTTAAAAACTTGTCTCAATATTTTTCTAAAAAAAAATTATAAATACTACACATTTTTCTCTTTCTTATTATTTATAACCTTAAACGAAATTCAATTTATCTAATATTTCTGTTTTCGGTCGACTTTTTTTCAAGTTTAATACTTTAATTTTTCTTAAACTGAAAATTAATTTTATTTTAATTTTTTTTTTAATTTTATTAGTTTTCTTTATTATTAATATTATTATTACTATTATGATGATGATGATGATAATGATGATGATGATCATCATCATCATCATTATCATTATTATTGTCATTAATATTGTTATTATTATTATTATTGTTTTTATTCAATTTGATAGGTATTTACTTCAGATAAGCATTTGCAACTATGTTTTTTGAACGATTTTTCATGATTAAAAAAAAAAAAACTATGCAAAATACTTAAACATAGTAAATAAAAACAGTTTTCATATAAAAATTAAAGCTTAAAACATTGTGAAAGGTTTAATGCACAGGTCTATTGATAAATATTTGTACTTTTACTTAATTTGTACGACATAAATTTATTAGATAGTCAAACAAATAAAATTAAAACGCAATACAAAAATGTTATTTTAGGAATTTAGTACATAAAACTACAGCATTACTTTAACTTTTACATTACAGCTTTACATTACTTTAACTTGCACAATTATTATTTCATGCTCCTACAACATTTTTTAAAGTCATTTTCCGAAAAAGATTCTAAATAGCAATTAAAGTTGGCACCCCTAAGTCTATCACAATCATTAATATATTTTATAGTAAAATTTTTTGCACAACCCTAATAAATAAATATAAAAACATATATAACACTTAATTTTTATCTCTTCCATGTTGTAACTTTTAATCCTCCAACTTCGACATATTATTATTATTATTATTTTTAACCCTCCAACTGCATGTTCAACAGGTAAGAATGCACAAGTTGTTTAAATTGAGTAATATAAAGAAAATAAAAACTTAGTAAATATTACTTTATCTACAATATTTGCCGAATTTATTCCATAAAATACCATTCTAAAAAAATTTTAATAAAACTTTATCCAAAACATATTTGACAATAATGAATTTCAATTTAACTGCAGTGTTCTAATATAAATAATTACCTTTTAGATTTTCTTTCCCGCGCCTTAATTTTAGCATTTAACTCGTTTAGCTTTACCTCTAGTGCCTCAATTAATTTAACCTAAAACAAAGTAATATGAAGGGGGAGAAAAATGCAATTAAAACTTGTTTAAGGTCATTTTTTTAATATTTTGCAAACGCAAAATATTAAAAAAGTTAACACAAGTAATATTGAATATTACTTGTGTTAACTTATATTATAAAAACCTACACACTCACTTGTAAGCAGAATGGACAGAACCAATCTCCTTCAGGTATGGTTTCAACCGGAGGACGTAAACACAACGTATGATATGCTGCATCGCAACCGTCGCACAGCAAAACCTACAAAGTAAACATGCAGAAATAAAACCTAATGATTAAAAATTATTTTTCTCAATATATATATATATATATATATATATATATATATATATATATATATATATATATATATATATATTAACATTTTCACTACCAACAAAGCTGCAAGCAATCAGTATTAGAGTTGGAATGTACTAGAAGAGAAAAGATAAAGTTTATAAAGCAAGATAAAAATTAACAGACAACTTAAAAGATTTCAATTTATATGAATCAGGAAAACAAGAAAGAGGCAAAGACAAAAAAGAATTTTTGGAACACTTCGGAACAGTCAAAGTAAAAAGAATGAGACATAATTGAATGATGAATAAAAAAGAATGAATTTTAGTAGACGACACAAGAGACGCTAGCTCTTTAGAACAGCACCCCTTTTAATATTTATAGAAAAGAAAAAGAGAAGCAAAATTACGACAATGTGACAATTGTTAAAGGCTGCAAGTGTTTGATTAGCTGCAATTGATTGGCTGCAAGTGCAGGTCCAATTATGTTTATAATACATTTTTGCACCTTGTCTAAAAGAGAAAGGGCATCATTCGAAGATTTGCTTCAAATATAGCAAGAGTATTCCATACAAAGACAAATTTGAGATTAATGGAGGTAAAGAATAGAATCTGGAGTAAGATTGTAACAAGCACGATAGAGATGCAACCTTAGCAGATGCTAATTTTGAAATGGATTTAATATATACCTTTCAAGAAAGATTGGAAGTAAGAGTTAATCGAGAAGACGAAGGGTAGATAAATCATCAAGTACATTAACATTCATAAATATAGGAAGATTTAGATTCTTGCGATAACAATTAGCCAAAAAAAAACCTAATCTTATCTGAGCTAAAGTTCACTAATTACTGAGAGTCCCATGCTGTAGCAGAAGTAAGATCCTTTTCAAGCTCAAATGCCACCTCCAAGCAATCAGAAAGTGTTGGCTTTTTATAAAGACAAGAATAAATAGTAGTACCATCAGCGAACAAAGCCATCTTAGATGTGATTGGTAATGAATGATTCAATAATCTTAAAGATGCTACTTTACACAACTAGAGAGACTTATAATAGCCTTTGCCTCTCCGCATCTATCTAATGCATGATAAAACCTATCAGTTATTACCGTTAACAAATCAGCAACAAGAAAATTGAAATGCAATGATGATCAGAGTTATTAGATTCAAGATGAGAAAAGTGTTTGTTAACCAAAAACTCAAAAACCTTGCTTATGTTAGTAAGAAAACTAGTGGGACAGTAGTTAGATGAGTCAGATTGCTCTCCAGAACTTTTGAAAATAGGAATAACAGATGCTGCTTTCTAGACGGCTGGAAAACAAGACTTCGATAAGTCTTTGAGTCTTTGATCAATAAATTCCTCACATCTCATCTTGAGTCGAATAAACTGCTGTCAGACAATCAATACGGTTTTCGATCCTCTCGCTTTACGGCCAACTTGCTAACTGCTGTAACTGAAAGATTTTATCGTGCATTAGATGGAGGCGGTGAGGCTAGGGCTATTGCTCTTGACATATCTAAAGCTTTCGACAAAGTTTGGCATGCTGGTCTTCTCCATAAGCTTGCTTCATATGGTGTTTCTGGGAAAGTTTTTGAGATTATCAAATCATTTCTTTCTAACTGGTTTATTAAAGTCATCATTGAAGGCCAACATTCTTCTTTATTTCCAGTAACTTCTGGGGTTCCCCAAGGTTCCATCTTGGGCCCTGTTTTGTTTCTTATCTACATAAACGATCTTCCTGACAACCTTTCATCTAAAGTAGCTCTTTTTGCTGATGACTCAACTTTATACTCCTGTCTTGACAAAAAGTCTTCTCTTTTTGATCGCCTAGAACAAGCAGCTGATCTTGAATCTGATCTCACTTCAGTAATAGATTGGGGTTCACAGTGGCTTGTGAATTTCAACTCTAAAAAAACCCGATTGCTTACTGCAAACAACTACCGTAATATGGTCAACATTCCTATATTAATGAATGGCAATCCTCTTACTGAGTCCTCCTCTTTACGCCTTCTTGGATTATCGCTTACTACTGACCTTTCATGGAAACCATATATACAATTGATTGCTAAATTAGCTTCTGCTAAGGTTGCTTCTCTTTATCGTGCTCGCCATTTCCTTACTTCTGATTCCATTCTCTACCTCTACAAATCTCTTATTCGTCCCTGTATGGAATACTGTTGTCATATTTGGGCTGGTTCTTCTAACGATTCACTTTCTCTTCTTGACAAGGTCCAAAAACGCATTGTAAATGTTGTTGACCTGGACTATCTGCTAAGCTTGAACCTCTTTCCCATCGTCGTTAAGTTGCATCTCTTTCTCTTTTCTACAGATACTATCATGGTCATTGATCAAAGGAGTTATCATCTCTAGTTCCATCAACTAAAATTCATTCTTGTTTTACTTGTCATTCAGGTAAGTCTCATTCGTTTACTGTATCTGTCCCTGCATACTTACAAACAAAAACAAAAACAAAACTTTTATTCATCTAGTTTTTTTCCCCGCACTTCAATCCTTTGGAACTCTCTCCCATCTTCATGTTTTCCTGACTCATAAAACCTTCAACTTTTCAAGTCTTCTGTCAACCGTTTCCTTGCTCTATAACTCTGTTCTTTTTTTTTCCTAGTAACTCCCAACTTAATAGTGGTTGCTGGCAGCCTTGTTGGGAGTAAATGCAAATAAAAAAAAAAAAAAAAAAAACTTGTTAAATAGTTTTAAAAGCATAGATGACAGTTCTGGAGAACACTTCTGCAAGACTATAACAGGTATGTTGTCTGAACCATAGGCTGTAGAAGAGTCTAAGCAGGAAATTACTTTAGATACAGAAGCTAGAATAATACAAATGTCAAGCAATGGATCATCCTGTTTGTCAACTATATCAGGTAGGGTATGATTAGTGGAATTGAGAGATGATATTGATGAAAAGTTCTTAGCAAACAATTCAACTTTCTTTTTAGGTGAGGTAATAAAAACTGAACCATGCAAGAGAGGCGGAATAATAGATTTGCCCTTATTATAGACACTGTTATAGTTTCTCCAGAAGTCTCGATAGCCTAATTTTTGATAGGAAATACAAGAATTTGTGACCTAAGAATAGCGCGCTTTGGCATTAGACAAAGCTTTTTTACAATAGTTTCTATCAATAGTAAACAGACAACTATTTTCTGGGGAATTTTTTTGACGATAGATATTAAAGTATTGGTTTTGATTGGAAATTGCAGCAGCACAATGAGACAAAAACCATGGAAAAGAGCGAGGCTTGACTTGTCAAGAGGGAATAAAAGATTCCATGCCAGCCTGAAGCTAAGAAGTTATGTAAGAAGCACATTTTTCAGCAGGAAGATGAAAGATTTCTACCCAAGTGCTATCACAAAGAAAATCAGGGTAAGAGTCCCAGTCAGCTTTAAGGTAGTTGTAAGAGGTACAATGTTAGAGGGATTTTAATGATAAAGAAGAATGAGATAATAGTTTTAGAGAGATTAAAGTGTGATCATAAGCACCTAAGGGTGAATATGGAAAAGCTGAGTACTGACTAGGATCAGAAACAAGACATGAGTCAAGTAGAGAAGGTAAATGATTTGGATTGAAAATAAAGTGATATATACATGAAAAAAATTGACTTAGGATGGTGATAATTTGTTGCTCTTAAATAATATGAAATAGATTAAAAAAAAAATTCTGATTTTTTTAGTGTCTTCCTTTGCCGCCAGGGGCCTTAAATCAGCAGTTTGTATATTTTTATGCTTTTTATCATTATTTAATTACATAGTAATATGGTTATAAAATTTAAAACATTACTTTACCATATTTGTGCATTTTTAGGCTTTTTTATTGTTATTTAACCATATTTGTGCATTTTTAGGCTTTTTTATTGTTATTAAACTACTTAGTAATTTTTGTTCTAAAATTATTAAACTTTACTTCAAATTGTGAGAAAGTTACCATTGGATGATATAAGAAAAATAGAATAGTTTTTTTTGGCTTTTTCTGTTGGGGACTTATATTGTGCATTTTCAGGATTTTTACTGGTATTTAGGTATTGGTATTTGATCTTAATTTTTTCAATGTTTTCCAAAATAAAACTATGCCTGGATTTATAAACCAGTATTAAATTATAAACTAATTATCTATTCAGTGATTCAAACTTTTTCAAATTATTATATTTCATTTGTCAGATTTCTGTGAACTAGCTTAAAAAATCTATTCTGTGAATCTGACAGAAACATGATAAAGTTTCCAACAGTTGCCAGAGAATGTGACAGATATGGTGTATCTGATATTGCTGGAGTTGCGTTTGCTACTGACACACTTTCAGATTATGGAATTACAAAAAAACATGACAGAAAAGCATGGTCCAAACCAAGTTAAAGCGTCAAAGACAAATGCTTAGAACTACATTATTACACAAAGGAAAGTTACCTATGTGTTCAGTAGGCACAAAATCAACTTTCTTTGATGGGAGAAAAGATAAAAATCTTTGTGCATTAGCAATAAGCAGTAAAGACATAATTACTGAAGAACGTATCACATTAATTGGAGAACCTCATTCCATTTTTCTTGTTCATATTTCTACATCAAGTACATCATCAACAAATATCAAGAATGCTATTATAGATTTTTTTGATGAAAACAAGATATCACTTGATAATGTGTTAGCTATTGGCTCTGATGGAGCTAACATAAATACTGGTGTTAACAATGGTGTAATAAGATTGCTGAAACTGCATTTATGATATTCAGTTTAATGGTTAGTGTGTATGTTCCATTTTAATGAACTTACATTGAGAACCCACTTCAGAACCTACTGCATTTAGTAGCAACATTGGAAAGCATTTGCAAACTGTCACAAGTTGCAAATTGTCAAATTTAATGTCAGACAGAACAACTTACCAAGTGTTCTACATGAGATTGTGACAAATAATATTAGCAAAGATCAATAGTATCTTTATAATATGTGCAAGGCAATAGAAATAGGTGAGGTGAAAGAAAACCTAAAAAAAATTAATAGGCCCGTTGGTTCATTCTCGATGGCTGACAACAGCAAATTGAATCTTTCGTTTGTATGTTGCATGCACTCCTCCATCTACCCAGCTTGTAATACTTATTGATTACACTCTTCAAGTTTTACCTTTATTTTATCATTCATTCTTTATTAAACTAAAGCTCCAATTTTTGACAAGGATAAAACTTGAACTTGATTCTTTATAAAACTGGAGCCTCAATGGGGACAAAACACTTGAAGCGCTTAATTCAGTTCTCTCACTTCCTTTCTGAAAGTGATCGACTTATTGTTGATAAATGCATTCAAAGAAATGCATATTGAGATCACCCAGCAAATATTTTAATATCAACATTGATGGATTTTTTTAATTTATTTATTTAATTCACCTCCTCAAGGCCGAGAAGGCTACTACAGACGCGGAGGCTACTTATTTGTGGTTATAACCCTCTCTCAACTCTATAACTCTGAAAAACGAACCTTGATAAACAAGGCCGCTGCGCGGATAAGGAGTTAAGCGCAGTACTACCAGGGACGTGGTGGGGATCGAACTCGGAACCACTGGTTTATGAAGCAAGCGCTCTACCACTACCGCATCAGCGGTAGAATAGAGAATCAAATAAGAGAATTAGCAGCTAGAAGAATTAAATTTGTGAAGTGATGCAGTTTCAAATTCTACAGAAGTAAGCAAATTCAAAATTCCTCTCCTAAGATGCAGCTGATTACTATATTGTTGTAAATTGGGAGAAACACCCAAGGACTCCACCACCTATATTAAAAAAGTTAAGCGATGATTTCATTGAAAATGCAATACAAAATATACAAAAATTGACTTTAGATGATTTTTCATGCCATTCTCAAAATGTAAAAATACATGTTCAATTGGTTACAAAAGAAACCGCATCTGGAGAAATGAGAAGAGATGAATACATTAAGGCAATTCTCAAATTAGTGAAACCAGAGAGCTAATTTTTCAAACACTTTTTTTACAACTGTTTTGCTTATTTTTACATAAACTAAATTTACATTTTAAAATACATTTAGAAGTTTTTTAAAATACATTTAGAAGTTTTTTAAAATACATTTAGAAGTTTTTTAAAATACATTTAGAAGTTTTTTAAAATACATTTAGAAGTTTTTAAAAATACATTTAGAAGTTTTTTAAAATTTATTTAGAAGTTTTTGTATAATGAAAAATTTAGAAGTTTTTGTATAGGGTATGGAAAAATATTGATATTAATTTCTTCAGTTACTAAAATTTGAAAATTTTTAATTTTTAATGTCAGTATATTATTTTCCATTTATCATAATAAATAAATATTTAACATTGTTATAACCACATAAAAGCATTTCCATAACTATTTTAATATAATTAAAAAAAAAAATCTAGCTTTGAAAAAATATTTAAACATATATATAACATTTTAGTAAACACCTTTTTGTGATGTCACACACATAACAAAAAACAATGAAAAGTTTTATTTGTGAGCAAACTAGAATGTTTTTTTGGAAAATATTTTTAGTTATAAGAAAAAAGTATTAAGGAAACAAAATAAAATTTTTTTTAATGATAATGTGGTAAAATAACTAAAAAAAATTATAGAAAGTTTGGTCACACACATAATGTAGTTTTATATTTAATGACACATGTGTGATATATATATATTTAATGATACATGTGTGACATTACACAGATAAGATCATTAAATTTAAAAAAACAGAAAATAAATAATTGATAAGGATTGGAACTAAATATAAATATTAAATATAATTATTTTTTTGAGTATAAGTGCTTTTAACATGAATATAATATTGATATAAACTACTTTTTTGAAAATTATTCTCAATTTTTTTAATAAATTTAACAAGAAAACAACCATAGCAGTATTTGAAATTTATTTCAGTTTAAATTAACTTAAAAAGATAAAGATAATTCTATAAATATTGATTCGAAGGTCTTTGTAAATTTTAATAGTTTCCTGTTTTAAGTTTAGGTTAATTAAACTAATTATGTTATTTATGTTAATTATGTTAGTTTATGTTAATGCATAAAAATAACAAAATCTTAAGCTGAAAGAAAAACTTTAAAGAAAAACTTTAAAGGAAAACAAAAAGCTGACAAAGAATACTATTCAATAAAAATTAAAAGGATTATAAATATGTGCAAAATGAAAGTTGCAAAAATGAACAGTACAGAAAAGAATTCATATAAAGAAAAAAAATTAATAAAATGGAAAAAGAAAAAAGCTGAGAAAATATTTTTTGACAATGTTTTTAGGAGAGGGTTTTTTTTCAATCAACCTATGGAGAGATAATGCCTTTCTTTACATTTTGTAAGCTAAGGCCAAAAATTACAAGTCAAAAATGGGTTTATGATGGGTGACAAAAATGGGTGCATAAGAGAAGTGATAGAGGAATTACTATTTATTTCATCTAAATTTCAGAAACACATTCATATAAAAAGAGTTCAAGATTTTGAAACAGACAAGGGCAGGAGAAAGAGTTCTTCAGGTAGACTTTGCAATGGCATATATTTGCAAATATCCAAATGAAGTACAAAGTGCACAGTGTTCCACTGTTCAATTGTTTAATTGTACTGTTTTCAACAACAATAATTGCAAAGCATATTCTATCTTTTCAGACACTAGAGTCAAGGGAAAAGATAGTGTTGGCTGTTTTATTGGGTAATTATACGAGATACTTATGTCTGAAAACTCTAATAATGAGACTGAAACTCTTTTCACTGATCGATGAAAAATTCACCAATCATCAGAATTTAAAAATAAATTCACCCATCATCAGAATTTAAAAATAAGTTTATGAAATTACTCAACTAATTATCTTTGCAATAAAATAAAAACATCTGAATGAAATGTATGAGTAATAATGAGAAAGTGTGTGCATAAACATCTATGGATTTTTTCAATGTTTTCAAACAATTAATGACAGCTACTAATATTCTCTATATTAGCAAAGATGAAATCATTAGTAAAATAGACAATAAAAAAATCTTGGTTAGAAGTCAAGAAAACACAGGAAATGCTAAAAATTCATCATGTCAATTCTTTCAATGAATGCAAGTTTCAAAATAGTGACTCAAATTAATTTGCATTTCAAATAAACTATATTAATGACATGCAAGTTCCCGAAATATTTTCTAAATCTCCAGAAATGGCTTTTAATGATTGGTGCCTTATGAAGAACAATGAAACTATGTACCCTTATAAAATAAAGATTAAACAATTGAAACTTTAAAAAAATAAACTATAAAAGTGCTACTCAGTTTAATCTTTATTTCAGTTATGTTATAAAAATGAAAAATAAAAAAAAAAAACTGTTTAAAATTTATTAAATTATTGAAAGTTTGTACAGTGTCACACGCACGTAACAAAACTTGTCACACACGAAACACTAAAGATTATCTTTTTTTTATGAAGTTAATGAAATTTTGAAAAATAAAAGTAGTTTTTATAAACATCAACATGTTGTCTGTAACATAAAAAAATCATTAAACTAATCATAGCCAATTAGCAGAAATATTCAATCAAAGTTTAAAATTCAAACTTAAAGTTTTGTACATGTCACACATGTAACGCAACTAATCAGTTCTTTTCTAGTATGTGCAATAAACATATTTTTAAGAGAAAAATTATTATATATCAGACATCTCCTACTATAATATTTGCAATATATATCGTGCATACATGTAGTAAACAATTTTTTATGGCCCATTTTATTTGAAAATATTCGTACCAGAGTCACACATGTAACGCGAGAATTGCCCATTAAAACAAAATTTTTATCTAGAAAGTATATTCCACACTTTGCTTCAAAAAATAGTTGGAATATGATAAATCTTTTTTTTCATCATTGAACTTCTTTAAATAAGTTCAATAAAAAGTTCAATATAAAACGGCATTTAAAAAAATTTGTATTGCTCATAAGAAATGTTATTCTAGTGCTAACATAATCGTGCATAAAATTTTGAGTTTAAAGCTAAATTAAAAAAGGTCATAAAGGTTTGACCAGAAAACAACAAAATTATTGCATTTTTTGTGGAACAAAAACTTTTTTATATCATATATATAATATATATATATATATATATATATATATATATATATATATATATATATATATATATATATATATATATATATATATATATATATATATATATATATGTATATATATATATACATACATACATACATACATACATACATACATACATACATACATACATACATACATACATACATACATACATACATACATACATATGTATGTATGTATGTATGTATGTATGTATGTATGTATGTATGTATATACAATTGATATTTTGTGTTTAGAGATTGTCATTAAATTATGCAACGCTATGTTATGTGTATATATAATATAAAACAATAAAAAAATATATATCTAGAGAAAAATTTTGCCACACACCAAATCTGATTGATTGTTTGCTAAACATCGACAGCAGCCATCATCCTCTTCCTCAGATTCTGATGTATTGATAATAACTAAAAAAACAGATTCTGATGTATTGATAATAACTAAAAAAACAGATTCTGATGTATTGATAATAACTAAAAAAACAGATTCTGATGTATTGATAATAACTAAAAAAACAGATTCTGACGTATTGATAATAACTAAAAAAACAGATTCTGATGTATTGATAATAACTAAAAAAACAGATTCTGATGTATTGATAATAACTAAAAAAACAGATTCTGACGTATTGATAATAACTAAAAAAACAGATTCTGATGTATTGATAATAACTAAAAAAACAGATTCTGATGTATTGATAATAACTAAAAAAACAGATTCTGATGTATTGATAATAACTAAAAAAACAGATTCTGACGTATTGATAATAACTAAAAAAACAGATTCTGATGTATTGATAATAACTAAAAAAACAGATTCTGACGTATTGATAATAACTAAAAAAACAGATTCTGATGTATTGATAATAACTAAAAAAACAGATTCTGATGTATTGATAATAACTAAAAAAACAGATTCTGATGTATTGATAATAACTAAAAAAACAGATTCTGACGTATTGATAATAACTAAAAAAACAGATTCTGATGTATTGATAATAACTAAAAAAACAGATTCTGATGTATTGACAATAACTAAAAAAAGAACAATAAATGTAATATATGCCATAATAATATATAGCATACAGCCACATTTTCTTATTAATTGTATCTTACAGTTACTAAGAAATTGTGTATAATAAGGATTAAATGGTGATTTTTTTAATAACTGAATTATGCATTTAATAAGAACCATTTATTTCACTGATATAATATGCAACAGCAACATAACTATTTCTGCAGACATATGTTCAAAATTATCTTTTTATTTTCGAATTATGTTCAAAAACATTAGTTTTATTATTTTTCTCCTGATGGCATCACTGTATTCAACAATTTGCTGATATCATTATTGTACTCAACAACTTTTTATTATTTCTATGCCTTATGGCATAATGGTATATCTTCAATATATTTAGAGTAGATTAGGGTATTATGAGCACCTTAAGTGAAAAATGGAATATTATCAAAAATAATAATGCTGGCTCCAAAATTTTTGCGAATAAACAATTTTTAGGGATCACTACTCAGGATCCAATTAGATATTTGGGCACCTGAAAATTTTTCTTAAAAACACAGAGGTTTTAAAAAAGTAGCAAAAGTGCTTGGTAATATGAGCACTTTAAATTAGCTCAAAAAAATAACATTATATAGGTAAAATACCAACCTGACAATTAGAACTAATTTGTGGAATATAATGATTCGTTACTAACACAACTTATCATTAAAAGATCAAATTTAAAATCACTTTTTATTGAAATAATACTACTATGTTTTATGCATATTTAAAAAAAATATTTTGTAATAAAATTTAAAAAGTTTTAAGCTTTTTAAACTTTATTAACTCAAACCTTTAAATGATACAATTAAATTTGAGTTTAAATTACAGAAAGATATTTTGTATTGTTAAAATACTAAAAACTTTAACTATGTTTTGTTTTTATTTAAAAAGCAATTAAAACCACTGCAATTTTAGGACTTAAAACAAGGTAACTTCAATAATGAAACAGATTTTTAGCTAACATATTTTTCTTTATGAAAAACTAAACTTCATTATTTTAGCATAGAAATTTTGCGGCATTTTGAACAAAATTTAATAGCGTTTTAATTAGATCAAAGCCAATAATTACTGCATATAAATTTACGCTAATTGTAGTGATTGTTGTTATCATCACATAAAGTCGATTCAAAAAATATAAAGCAACTTTACTTCACTGCTAACATCTTAGAAATCTTTTAGTTTTAATCTTTTAGCTCATATTACCAAGGTGCTCATATTACAAAATTTTCAAATTTCTCAACATGGCATTTAACTTTCTTGATGTCGATGATGATAATGAAAACAATGAATATTCAACACCATTGTTTTTAATATTCTTTTTTACTTGCCCTTAAACAATAGGTATGCTAATGATTCCAATATTAAAGTAATTTTTTCCTCAAAAGTACTAACCCTAACTGTCCTTAAAAGAAGCAACACTTCTATATTCCATTTATGAAACAACATTAAATTATAAAGCCTGATTTAAAAGAAGAAATGCAGGATTAAATATGAATAAGAATGATGTTGATATGAAAATAACCTCAAGATAAATTCTTACATTGTCAGATATAGAACCCAAAAAATGTCTAAATTACCCATTCTATATCTCTTAAAAGAATATAAAAGATAACCTTTAAACATCAATAACTAAATAAAACAAATAGTTTCGAAGAAACAAAAAGAAAGAAACAGAACTGAGGCATGAGTTTAAAAATAATTGTTTAAACTCATTGTTTGAATTTTTTTTTAATAACTTAATTGTTATAAATTTAATATTTATTTTATAACTTCAATAGTTTAATTATTTTAGTTATTTTAAATATTATTGTTTAAGAATAACAATCAGGAAAAACAATAAAAAGAACATTTTAAAATAATTTTTTTTGTAGATTTTAAAAGATTTCTTTATGAGATTTTGATCCTTTAACTTTTTTGTGCTTTTATTTAGCAACAGTTTAAACTTTTTTTGTTCTTTATGATTCTTCTTTTTCCTGAATCTCTTAGCAAGGTTGTTTTTGATTGAATGGACTATATTTTTTTCTTTATCCTTTTTCCATTTTTTGTATTTTAATTATCATCATACTGAATGACTTGGTTCTAGTTCCAGTGACAGTGTTGGCACTCAATCTCTTACCCAACATAATTTTCAAATGTTGTTTCTAGTAATGCTATATGCATAATTCGCAGCTATGGTAACCAAAAAAAAATGCTAAAAATAAAGCAAGCAAAGATCCTAAAGATCTTCCTTACTATAAAAATCCTCAACAATCAAACAAAAAATTATTGATCCAGCACTAATTATTTAAAACTATCTAAAATCCTCAACAATCAAACTAAAAATTATTGAGCCAGCACTATTTTTATGTCAGAGCTGTTAGGTCTGTGGTATGTTAAGACTGTTATTAATATACCATTACCATTAATATGTTATGCAAACAAACAAAAATGATTTGTTTATTTAACATTAGATGTAAAAATTCATTTTTGTTATTTTAAATTTTTAAATATTTTAAAAAATAATCATCTTTAAAATAATTATTAAAAAAATATTAATTCGCTTTTTGTTTTTTTTGTAAATTTTGTATTTTCAAATTTAATCTCAAATTTAAGACATTAAAAAAAGTTTAATAAAATTTTCTTATAATCATCACTTAAAATAATTATAGCTGTAACTGTCTTTCCAACACCGTTCTGATTTGACAGAGATGTAAAATTGAGTGAAAAAAATGTTGAATACAATTTTAGTGAAAAAATGTAGAAGACAATTTTAGTGAAAAAAGTGTAAAAAAGTGTAAAAAAAAAAGAGATAAAAAGTGAAAATGATTTTGTAGAACCAAAAGTTTAAACTATTATTTAATCAAACACTTAAGAGTTGCCAGATGTCCAGCTTTTTACAGTATATATAGGGATATATATGTATATATAGAGATTTCTATGTGTAATGTCCAGCTTTTTACAGTATATATAGGGATATATATGAATATATAGTGATTTCTATGTGTAATAAACATTCTTTCATTTGAATAAATATAAAATAAAAAATAAACTTTAATACTATTCTTATCATGTTGTAAAATAACAACACATACACAATAACAACACATACACAATAACAATAAAATAACAACACATACACAATATCATGTTGTAAAATAACAACACATACACAATAACTTCACATACACAATAACAACACATACACAATAACAACACATACACAATAACAATAAACATTGTCTTCATAATAACAACCCATACATAATAACAACAATAAACATTGTAAAGTCTTCATAATAACAACACACACATATATCTGATAATAGAGAGTTTAAGCGTACAAGTGTTATGTCGAGGCAGTGGTAGGAATACAAAAGAATTTCTTGTAAATAATTAATAAGTCTTAATGTAATACCGCTGCTAAAAAATGTTACGTGAATAATTAATGAATTTAAAAATCATACTTTTGTTTTGAATGATTTATTTTAATATTTTTGAGGTTAGCGTCTCTCAAACTCTAACTGTTGTTTATAGGGCAATCTAACTGATTGTTTATAGGGCAGAATTGTTCTTAGAAATATATTTTTGAAACTGTGTTTGGAAATACTTTTAAGTCATGAATAATCAATGACTTAAAACAGCCATTTTGAAAGGTTTTCATGCTTTACCTTTATTTAAAATTTGCCGTGGTAGCGAATTTGCTAACATTTGTACTAACACTGCCTGAAGATAATGCTTGTATGCTTAACTTTCTAATAACAACTTTTAACATTGTAATGCTTTTATAGTAACAACAATACATAATAACGACAATAAACATACGCAAGACAATTGTTGTTTAAGGATAGCAAAATCTTATTTAAATGTCCAAAAAAGAAGTTATTGAGCTAATGACTTGGCATCCACAAGATCCAGATTTAAACATCATCGAACAAGTTTGATATTATTAAAATAGGAAAAGGTTAAAAATGGTCTTACAAATGCTGAAGATTTTCAAGATACTTACTCCTCCCCAAATTAAGAGTTACTTCCTCCTCAACTATTCTCTTTGGAAAGTGAAAACAGTAAAAAAAAAAAAAGAATTAGTATTAAACTTTATATTACTAAGTTAAATATTTTATTAACTTTACTAAAAAAATTATTTGATTAAATTTTATCTACTTAATACTAAATCAATTTATCTACCAAAAAACAACATAATGAAATTTTTAATTTATTTGTGAAAACAAACCTATTTCAAAAAAAAAATTCTAATTAAATATGGTATTAAATACAGCAACTACTTGAAAAAATTTATCAATTAAAATCACACTAACTTATCTTCACTCCCTCAATTGCCTTTTCTCTGAGCCTGGTGTCCGCTCAGTATCTTCTCATTCTAATTTAAGTAGTAAGTCTACCATGCAATGATCTCAAAACTTTTTCTATATTAAATTCACTATTACATTTCTTATTACTACTCTAAGGTTTAAAGAAGTTACAAAAAGAAGATTGAATAAGTTTGTGTATGAGTGTAGCAGATATGGTTATTATCTCAAAAAAAAAAAAAAAAAAAAGATTTCTTAAGAATAAAGATAATAAAAAAAAAAAAACATTTCTTTTAAAAATATTAAAAGAAATGTTTGAGAAGGAAGTGTTATGAGAGTTTTGTATATAACATTAGATAAGAAGATGCCATTAATGTTGGATGAAGAAATCCTGCTTGAGGATTTCTAGTCACCTAAGGGAAGATTACAAAGCGTAATTGACATCGAAATAATTATACTCTTGGTTCTTTAATAATAATCTGATTTTTTTTGAAAATAGGTGAATTGATGCATAAGTATATGCCCAAGCCAAGCATGTGATTATTAGAGTGTTTAGAAATTAAAGAATAATCTATTTAATAATAAAATGCAGTAATGGTGTAGAGTGCTTGCTTCATAAGCAAGAAGTTCCAAGTTCGATCCCCAACACACCTCTGGTAGTACCGTGCTTAACTTGTTTCTTTGCGCAGCAGCCTTGTTCGTTAAGGTTTGTGTTTCGGAGCCTCTTTGTCTGTAATAGCCTTTTTGGCCTTGGGGAGGTGAGTTAACATTAAAAAATATATATAGAAAAAACTTGAGTGTGGTAATTTAACTCTGGAATACATACCTTAAAAACAAGAACACTGCATGAATAAACAAGTTGAGTGTGGTACTACCAGATATGTAATAAGAATCAAAATCTGAACTTCTCAATGATTGTTGGATTTTATTTTTGTTTTTTTTTAATGTTTGTATGCTTTTTTTAATTTCAGAAATTCAGATGGCGCTACTGTGGTAGTGTGAATATATTGAACGCAGTTCAAAGCTTTTCAAGTCTTCTTTTGCTTTGATTGTCTCGGCGCTAGTAGGTTTGCCAGCGGGATAACTAACCTAGACCTTGCTTTTAATATGCAATATATAGAAATACTTATTTGCCTTTCACGACCATTTGCCTATCACCTTAGTCACAAACAGTTAATATAATACATCAAAGTTATTTTTCATTTTGCAGACTTCTTCACTTTTCATTCTGTAGAATTCTGGCTTGATCAAATATATGCAAAATAAATATATTACAAATTGGAAACAATCAAACCAAGTTGTCACTATTAATAAAACATCAAGTCTACAATTATACATATACAATTTTACATATGTAGTTCTATACTTATCAAAAAAAATATATAAATCACAAAATAAAGTAAAACCTTATTAAAATAAACTCTTGAAATTTATAATTCGATACTTATGATTGTTGAATATGATTGTTAAAACCATTTTAACTCACCTGCATTGAACAGATAAATTTTTAACTCTTTAGAATCTTTTTGAACAATTATGCTAGTATAATGTCACTGACTAGCCAGATGGTACACAGTTTTCTACAATATTCTTGAAATTTGTACACAACTCTTGAGTAATTATATAATTTCACATATTGGTTTAATGATTGGTTTTATTGTTAACAGTTTATTATTGAACTAAAAATTCCAATATAACTTTCTAAAGTCATTTTCTTAATATTTTAATGGTTTGAAAGTTTGAAAACTTTTCCAACTGGGTGCTTTTCCAATTGGAAAAGTTTTCCAATTGGAAAAGTTTTCCAATTGGAAAAGCACCCAATTGGAATATAATTTTTGTAATCAAAAAATATGATATAAAAGTCAAAATTATTTGTTTATTACATGCTGTAAAAATGTAAACATAACTGTGTACACTTGTTAAAAAATAAAAATACCTTTTGTTTTACGCCCCCTTTTTTTATCATTTTTTTCTTCTTTTAGTAATTGTCTTTGATGTTCCCGCTCTAATCTACGTTTTTCTTTTTCCTTTTGTTTAGCAGCATTACGCAGCCGTAACTTTTCTGCAGCTACATCTTTAGGGTTTACTTCTGATAACTTCTTTAATATAGATATATATTCTGTGAGATCATCTAAGTTCCTAAAACAATTTAAGCTCAATGTAAAATAAACAAATAATATTAAAACTAAAATCCAAATGTTTATATATATATATATATATATATATATATATATATATATATATATATATATATATATATATATATATATATATATACAAATATATAAACATTTTGTATATATAAAATATATATATACAAATATTTTCTTTGTGTGACCTAAATAGGCTATTGTTTTAATTTTATATTATTGATAATATTATTTTCTAGACTGTGTGCTCACACATTTTAATTATTCTAAACTATTATTAAAAGTTTTGGTTTTTTTAACTCTATAATAAAGAAATTCTCATGTGTAACATCTTGTGAGCAAAAAGTCTCTAGTGTGCAATATTTTTTTGTGCAACAACTTTTGTGTGCAACAAGTCTTAGATCGTTAATGTAAATTAAAAAGAGTATAGGGCCAAGGGTTGAACCTTGAGGAACCCCTGAGGTTACAGAATAAGAAGAGTGCTGTCTATCAAGGACAAATTATATACTACAATTGGAAAGGAAGGATTCAATAATCTTAAAGATGCTTTCAGATACACCATAAGAAGAAAGCTTATGGAGAAGACCAGCATGCCAAACTTTATCAAACACCTTAGAAATGTCAAGAGCGATAGCCTTAATCTCTCCACCTTTATCTAATGTGCGATAAAACCTATCGGTTATTACTGACAGCAAATCAGCCATAGAACGAGAAGATCGAAATCCATATTGATGATCAGAAAGTAAATTATGAGATTCGAGATGAGAGATTAAGTGTTTGTTAATTAAAGATTCAAAAACCTTGCTTATGATAGGAAGAAGACTAATGGGACGGTAGTTAGATGAATCGCTCTCCAGAACTTTTAAAAATAGGAATAACAGCAGGCTGGAAAACAAGACTCTAATGAGCACTTGTTAAATAGTTTTGAAAGGATAGACGACAGCTCCTGAGAACACTTCTGCAAGACTATAACAGGTATGTTGTCCGGGCCGCAAGCTGTAGAAGGAAATCACTTTAGATACAGAAGCTGGAATGATACGGATGTCGAGCAATGGATCAACCTGTTTGACGGCTATATCAGGTAGAGCGCAACTAGTGGAGTCAAGAGATGATATTGATGAAAAGTTCTTAGTAAACAATTCAGCTTTGTCTTTAGGTGAGGTGATAAAGTATGAACCATACAAAAGAGGTGGAATTACAGACTTGCCCTTATTATTGGTACTATTAAAGATTCTCCAGAAGTCACAAGAGCCTAATTTTTGTAATGAAATACGAGATTTCATGATCTGAGAATAGCGGGCTTTGGCAATAGACAAAACCTTTTTACATTGGTTCCTTGCAGTAATAAACATTCGTCTGTTTTCTGGAGAATTGTTTTGCTGATAGATATGGAAGTAATGGTTTCGATTGGCAATTGCAGCAGCACAATGCGATGAAAACCATGGAGAAGAGTGAGGGTTGACCTGGAATCGTCGAGAGGGAATAAAGGATTCCATGCCAGCCTGAATCCACAAAGTTATGTAAGAAGCACATTTGTCAACAGGAAGATGAAAGATTTCTACCCAGGGGCCATCATGAAGAAAATCACTGAAAGAGTCCCAGTCAGCTTTAAGGTAGTTGTAATGTTGTACGATGATAGGGGGATTCTGATGATAAAGAAGAATGAGATAATAGTTTTAGAGAGACCAAACCATGATCGGAGGCACCTAAGGGTGAGTGTGGAGAAACTGAGCACTGACTAGGATTAGAAACAAGACATATGTCGAGTAGAGAAGGTAAATGATTCGGCTTATCTGGAAAGCGAGTTGGAAAGTTGACTATTTGAGTTAGGGATTGAGAAAAGCAAAAGTTGTGGGCCTTAATGCCTGCACTAGAGTCACTGACACTAGAGCCAAGCCATTCAGTGTGATGAACATTGAAGTCACCGACAACAACAATATTGGCTGATGGATAAAGAGAGAGGGCTTGGTCAATATGATCAGAAATAACATCAAGAAGAGTTCAGTCTTGAGATGAGGGAGAGCAATATAGAACAAAGAAAAAGGTGATAGAGTGAAGTGGTGCTAAACAAAAGGACATAAAAGAGTAGTCTGTGGATTCAAACCTAGTTTCCCGACAAATGGGTGAATTCTTACGAATGTAAATGCCCAGGCCAAGCATGTGACTATTGGAGTCTTTACAAATTAAAGGAAGATAACCATCAATACTAAGATCACAAGATGAGATAGAAGAACTCAAATTAGTCTCACAAAGAGCAAGTATGTGTGAACTTTGCAAGAGATAAGACTCAAAAGAAGAAAAGTTACTTCGAAGACCACGAATATTGGTAAATGATAGGTTTAGCGAACTTGGTGATGACTGTGGTTTTTTGTGTTTTATAGTTTTTGTTACTTTATTCATTTTAAAATTTGTTAAAGAACTTAACTCGAAACATAGATAGTACTCAGTACACTGTTTTATAGCCCAAGCAATTGCCTCATTTCCACTAATAAACCCTAAGCCATAATAAAGGGCTCCAATGTGGCCTTGGCAATGCACACCAAAAGTACAAACAGGGACACCATCCATGCGCAACATGGCACTGTTAGTACTCTGATATTTTTCAGCTGTTGATGGAATCAGCCTCTCTGAGAGCTACCACAGAGTTCGGGAAACCTATATAGGTGATTTTTACAATAACAAAATGTAATTATCTGTGTACAAACTATTAATTTAATACAAAAATACAACAAAATCTATAAGAATAACCAGTCATACTAAAAGAACGAATAGGAAGTGACGAAAGAATAGGTTAATAAAAATTTACATAGAAAGTAATAACTAAACAGAAAGTGTCATTTGGAAATGGCTGACTTGTTTGTTCAAACCAGGTTTTAACCATTCTATGAACATGCATTCTTTAAGTTTTAATTCGAACTTATTAAATGCTGAATTTAAAACGGAAAAACTTTTCATTTAATTGCATAAAACAATTTTCATTACCATGGAGATGTTTATTGATATGTGATTTTTTATCTCTTTTATAATGTTTAGTTATTCGTGTCTTGAGATGGCGAGTAGTTTTGCCTATATAACAGGAGTTACATCCTGCGCATACAAATTTGTAGACCACGAACGATTTGAACTCTAGAGGAATAGGATCTTTAGAGAAAAAAAATTTTGAAACTTTTAGTGAGACAAAAACTAGTTTAAAATTTACAGAACAGTAATATCTTTTAACAATTGAATTCAATCTTTTTTTAGTTAATTCCGATATTTTTCCTAAAAACGGTAGTTTATAGTAAGACAAAGGCTCTTTGATTTTTGGTTGTGATGGATTGTTTGTGTCAATTTTGTTTAAATAAGATTTATATATTTTGGATATTAGCCAAGATTGATACATGTTTGTTATGAAATACTTTGAAATGGTTATACTTTGAAATGGTTGTTTATGAGTTAAACCCTAGATTAGTACTATTGATTTTAAATGTTCTATCGATTAAGCATTTGATAAGATTGACTCTATACGAAAGCGAAGTGAAACTATAAAAATTGGTGTGTAGACCAGAGTAGGTTTTTTTATGAAAAACTGTAGTAGTTACTGTAGAATTTATTTTGTGTAAAGTTACGTCCAAGAAGGATCTTTTCAAATTCACTTCTTGTTCCACGGTGAAAATATTTTATATAATTAAGGTAAATACGTGCTTCATTTTCTGACTGAAAAGCAGCAAAAATGTCATCAACATATTGTTTATAGAAAACTGGTTTACACCATTGCAATTTTTAATCCAGTCATTTTTAAAATGACCCATAAACAAATTGGCAAGAACAGGTGCTAGTGGAGAGCCCATGGCTACACCATCTATTTGATCATAAGTATGTCCTTTAAAAAGAAAATGTGTTTGCGAGGTAGCAAAATTAAATAGTTTTTTAAAATCGTTTTTAGTAATTATAAAGTTTTTATTATTAAGCATAATCAAATTAACTGCGATATCAATGGTTTCTTGAAGTGGAACATTAGTATATAAGCTGGTTACATCATACGATACTAAAAATTGTGATTAACTTGACTTATTTCTTTAACGAAGGAAAATGAATTTTTAGTGCAAAACTCTGTGTTTATTAATGGAGATAACAAATCTCTAAGAAATTTGGCTAGTTAATAATTGTAGGTACCAATAAATGATACAATAGGTCTGAAGTTTATGGTAGTCTCAGAGGAAGTTAATTTGTGCATCTTTAGAAGACCATAGATACGATCCGGAAGGATAAATTCTGTTGTATGTGGAATCATTGAAAAAACCTTTTGCTTTTAGTTTCCTCAGAAAATTTTGAAGTTGAATTTCTCTATTTATGCTACATCTTTCTTAAGTTGCTTAAATTTTGTTTTATCATTAATAAATTTATAAATACCATTTACGTAAATTTCTTTATCTAATATTACTACGCCATTACCTTTATCAGGTTTTAGAATAATAATATTCTGATTATTTTAAATATTCCATGTTTTTTCAGAGTTTCTTGAGAAGGACGATAATTGTAAACATAAGAAATTGCTAAACGGGAAAGTTCAGCTTTAAGTTTTGCTGAATCTTCATTATTTTTCAGTTTTGTTTGAAGAGAGCAATTAATTAGTTCAAAAGAAGAGTAAATATCAGTACGTTTAAGATATTTTGGTGGAATAGAAAACTGTAAACCATTTTTAAGGAGGTCTATTTCATCATCAGAAAGTTTGTACGAAGAGCGACTAGTTATGATATCTGAAACATTAAAGGATTTGTATGACCAGTTGTTAATCTTTTTAATTAATTTAAATTTCTTTTTTTTGTGTGTATTAGATCTTAGTGCCTTAATTAAAATAAACCAATCAAACAAAGAAATAGTCGTTTTTATGCGATCTTGTTAAGTATTAATTTCCTTAGATATTTTTCATTTTTCCTTGTGGCGTTTCTGTAATGCACTCCTTAGTAATCTTTTTCTTATAAAAGGAGAATCAAATTTTGAGACGCCAGGTAAATTAAATGAAATAAATTTCGGTAAAACTCCAGAAATTCTACAATTATTCAAAAACACAATATCTAAAGTGGCTTTATTTAACGTATAATTCAATTTTTCCAATCTTCTGAAGTCTTTCTTTGAAAGTTGTGTATACTTAAGTGCAATGTCATTTATAATATATCCAAAATTTCTTTTAAGCACAAAAAATGTAAATATTTTAATAAACAAGACAAACTTTTGAAAAGGATAAACAATCTATGAATAGGGTAAACAATCTATGAGTAGGGTAAACAATCTATGAATAGGGTAAACAATCTATGAATAGGGTAAAAAATCTATGATTAGGGTATAACAATTTAAGAATAAGATAAACAATTTGGAAGCATATCAGCAATTGATTAACATAACAGTAATTTAAAATGTATAAAGTTAAAAAAGTTATAAAAATTTTTAAAAAATTTTAAACTTTACAAAACAATCATTATATGCAATTTCATTAAACTGATTTCTTTTAAGCACTGGCATTACTGCAATGGTAAATTTTGATAATAGTTTTTAGATAATCAAAGGTGATTAGATACAACCTTTAGGTAACTGTGATGTGATTAACTGCGATGGGGTAACTGTGATGTGATTAACTGTGATGGGGTAACTGTGATGGGGTAACTGTGATGGGGTAACTGTGATGGGGTAACTGTGATGTGATTAACTGTGATGGGGTAACTGTGATGGGGTAACTGTGATGGGGTAACTGTGATGTGATTAACTGTGATGGGGTAACTGTGATGGGGTAACTGTGATGGGGTAACTGTGATGTGATTAACTGTGATGTGATTAACTGTGATGGGGTAACTGTGATGGGGTAACTGTGATGGGGTAACTGTGATGGGGTAACTGTGATGGGATAACTGTGATGGGGTAACTGTGATGTGATTAACTGTGATGGGGTAACTGTGATGGGGTAACTGTGATGGGGTAACTGTGATGGGGTAACTGTGATTACGATCAAGATGTGATTTTGATCAAGATGTAGATTTTGTTTTATGTTATTAGGATATAATTATATATTTTTTATTGTTATTATATTAATTATTAAGTTTTAAAAATTATTTCATACCCAGCTCTCACTTGCCACATGTCAGTCTCTTCCAGCTCCCCAGCATAAACTTGAACATTATATTCTCCATCCTTAAAAGAAGTGTCAGCTGAAATAATTAATAACTAGTAAGTTATACAACTAAATATATTAAAATTTGTCATGAAAGCCTCATCAAATTATACAATTGGCATAAAAAAAGTCTTAAAAGATTTTATATATACTTTAAATAATATTAAGTAAATACTAACTTTTCAGGTGTTTCAATGGGATATTTACTTATATTTATATTAAATGTTTTCTGTATGCGCTGGAAAAATATATTAAAATGGCAAAAATCATTTTCAACCACTGTAAATCATATAGTTGAAGGATTTTGATTCTTCCAAAATTTAATCATTAATTAGGTATGAGACATTTAGTTACAATCATTTTTACTTTTAAAACTCATATTTACCAATTTAGTAAAAAATAAATGACAGGTAAATAAAAATGAAATAAAATTTTATTAAGTCGAATACTTAACAATAAATGTAAAATAATAAAAAAACAATTTGGCGCCAATTTTATCTTTTTTTTTGTTTCTATTTTAGTGAATTACTGCCTATTAAGGTAACCTTGATTTTTAAAATTTTAAAACCTCTCATATTAAAAAAACTATATAAAAAATTTCAGAACTCTAAATATTATAACTAATATTTAGAGGTGGTTTACACATGCAAAAAGATCAATCTTGCAACTCCTCTCAGCAGCCTTCACAGCCTTTCACTCCTCACAGACTCACAAAATTGATAGTAAATAAAAAGATTTCTAAAAGAATGTTACCAGCATTTTTTTTCTTTTTACAGTTGTTACCAGTTTTTTTGTTTAACTGAATTGTAATTCCAGATTTAACTTAAAGAAAAGAAAAAACCAAAAAAAAAGTATATCATATTTTTCTCTACTTATAACCTGCAGTTGTTCTTCAGTCAGTTCCAATACAATAACAAATAATAAAACCAAAGCTCAAAGTATATGAGTAAACATATACACAAAAAGTTTTCTAAGGTGGAGTTTTTGTATCCTTTTCCAGACATCCTTTGTAAAATTTAATTTTTTTTGCCCATTTAAATGGTTTTTAACAATAATTAATGTTAATTTAGGTTTTTGAGATAATTGTTGAGAAATTAGCCTAAACTCCTTGATTATATGTCAATATCAATTCTCTTAATTGCTTACTTAGCTGATTTACTTGATTTTTTCTTTTCTCTAAACACATATTCCAAATTTTCTGTCAGTTCTAAGCACTGTGATTTTTTTTCTACCTTACTTCCTTCACAAGTAGGCTGCAAATGTACTTTTAAGTTTAATTTTTGCTATACTCTTATAACCTTTCAAAAACTTTGAAGATCTATTTTATTCTGAGACAACTAAAAAATTAATTATGCTAATTTATTCTGAGATAGTCCTTGAACACTTACACTTAAATGTGCTTGAGTGAAAAAAATTTTCAAAAATAACACAATAAAATACTTAACCCACTTGATTGCTTCTAAATACAATAAACAATTGAAAATGAGGGATAGGGGTATTGGCATTAGTAAAAATATGTTGATAAATATTATCAGAGTGAAAAAAGTAGTTATTGCACCACATTTAGAAAATATATTATCAAAAGAATAATAGGTACTTTAAAAACAATTGACCTTTTTACTAAAAAATTTGTACCCAACTATTTTCAGGGGTGATGAATCTAATGAAATAATAGGAATTTGATTTTTCTCCATAAAAATTATTATTAAGTACCTGTATTTATCTATTTAAATAAATTTAGGCAACTTTTTAAATACCTGATTGTAATGCTCAAGAAACCCATGTGGCCTTAATAATATCAAAAACTAAATTTTACAAACCATTTTATATTTATTGATCTTTCAGAAAACATAAGGATTTTGATCTGCAAGTTTATGGATTTTCATATATGGATAACGGGGCACAGAACCCACTTCTTTGTAGCTAAATATTGCAACTGATCTTTTACTATCTTTCAGACTAGTTGTATCTTTGAAACTTTTGGCATTTCTGTAGTGGTGATTAATATGCATGTTAAAGTTGTTTCCAGGGCCCAAGACATTAGGGCGTTAGGGTTATGTACCCCACTTTTTCATAGCAGAATCTTTCCAGACAAATTAGAGCTCTGTAAATCTCAGTGTTTGTGTGGCCTTGATAATTGTGTGTTAAAATTGTTTCCAGGGAGGAAACCAGATGGTCCATGAAACAAGGGCACCAAGAGCTATGTCCCACTTTTTATATAAAAAATTAAAAATTTTTATATAAACAAAGTAATGATAACTTTAAAAATATTGACCTCAAATTTTTTTGGTTTATACTTGTTCCCATTGGGTTTTTGATCATTCTATGTTCAAACTAATCAGCAAACTAACATTGATACATTGAAATTTGGTGATTTTATTCTGTATAAATACTGTGTTAATGCGTTTCATTGGATTGGTATGATAAATGAAACTTATCATATTGAAATCTTTTTATGATGATGGCAGATTTGTCAACTGTTAAGGATATTATAGCAATGTTTATGAATCCGCACAGTCTTAAAAAACTTTTCTGGCCATCTAGAGCGAATGAAAGTTGGGTTTTAGTTACCAACACAATTTGTATCATTTATACACCTGTAACAACAACTGACACTTTATATTTTGTATTTTATTTTGTAAATAATTAAATAAAACAGAACAAGTATAAATCAAAAAAACTTTTGAAGACATTTTTTTTTTAATTATTTTTATTACTTTTTTTTAAATTTTACTCCTTTAAAAACATGTTAATATTTCGTGCCAGGACAAGACAGCTTGCCACATGTGCTTGAAGTTACTCATTTAGAAAGAGATCTGGGGGTTCTAACTTCAGAAGACCTTAAAATCAATGCTCCAGTTATGGCAGCTGCTGCAAAAGTTAAACAATTTTTAGAGAGGCTAAAAAAAACTTTTTGTAGTTTATCACTGTGGAAAGAACTGTACACTACATATGTTCGTATCTGAGTATGTATGTAGTACGCCATCCAGGCATGGTCACCATACTAACAGGAAGACATAGACCCAATGGAGAAAATCCAAAACTGTGCAACCAAAATAACTTCTTCTATTAAATATAAAACTTAATATAATCCAAATTTTTAAATGTACAAAATTGACGAAATAAACTTCCATGTACCACTGAGTTGCCCATTGCTATCAAAGTACATTATGCAAGTTCATAATCAACAACTAGCACAGCAAAGAGTATTAGACTGCGTGCAGAGAGAAAAATTTTTTACAAACCATGTTGTGACGCAGTAAAATATCTTGCAGCAAACAGTAATCAATGCAACCTTGGTTAACATGTTTACAAATTGCTTAGATAAATATGTAAATTGGTAAAAGAGAAACATAAGAGCATAATGTTTTTTAATATATTCTTATGGTATGTTAGAATGACAGATGTGCACAAGTACCAAAGACTGTCAGTATAGAGGCGCCTGATGTAGCACATCCTTGTTGATAATTTTTAAACAAAAATTAGTAAATCATCAGGCTTGGTCGGGAAGCGGGAGCAATCGCTCTCGATTGCTGACCACGTAAATAATATTTAGTTGCGAAAAGCTGGCCAGATTTTTCAGCCGTTTTGAGAACATTTTAAAAAGCAAAAAAAAAAAGCGACAAAGATTAATTGGACCGATGAGAGACAATTACAAAAAAAAAAAAAAATAGGCAATTAAAATATCTTTAAATGCGAAAAAAATTAAAGCTAAATAAATTACATTTAGAACAAATATTTTCGAAACATCGCTCTTTTACAATTTTTTTTATAAAATTAAGCGATGTTTTTTATATAAAGTAACAACTTACAATTGTTTAAAAGTGAAACAAATATTCCTAATTTAACTAAGTTTGCAAGTTTTAGTTTTACTTAAGCTAAATTATTTTATAAATAAAAAAGTTAATTTTTATAATACCTATTTTATGTTTCGCGTAGTTTGAAAAGTTTAACATATTTGAAGCGATTCTTCTTAGTAAGATAAACAAATGAAATAATTAAATCATTGAATTACTATAGGAATTAAATTATCAAGATAGAAATCAACTAAAAAGGTTAAAAATACTTAATGACCAGGAAGCAAAACTGCTTCACAATATTGCTGATGATGTTTAGTGAGTGGGTTTTTTAATTTTAATTAGTATTTAAAGTAGAAAAAAGTATAACGAGTTTTAAGAATGGCAACTTAAGCGAAAATAATTAGAGTTAGTAAACCAATATCTAGAAACTTTTTCTTTATATCTAATTATTTGCTATATATATTTGTGTTCTGTTGTGACCTCAGGCGCGATGCTTGTTCATCCGCGAGTTACTTTGTATGCGTTGTTTGTGTTTAGTAACCAGAAACTTTTTATATGTTTGTTACATAATTAGTTTTATTAACTTTAACGATTATAACTTCATTGAAAACGCAATTATTTTTGTTAGTCTTTTTTTAAATCATAAAAATTGCTTTAAAAGATACATTACGATAAAATACAAATACACAAAATTGCATTTACATAAAGAACACAATCAAAATAAAAAATAAGAATATACTAATAAAATCTATGATTTATAATAAATTTTTAAAATTTTAACAATTTAATTAATATATATTTAAAACATTTATTTTCGTAAACAAATAATATACATTCTTAAAACAATGCGAGAAATCTCAAAACGTAAGAAATCGTGAATAATACAATTTCTAAAACATTTTAACAGAATACTCTAGAACTTTATTTCGCTTAATCAGCATATTTTTTGAACCAATAGAATTAGTTTGTTCGTTAATTTGGCGGGTTTTTAGTGTTCGCAAATATTCTTTTTATTCTTTCGCACAAAGATGTTTTGAGAACATTCAAGTTTTTTATGTTCCCATGTATGTCCGTAAAAAAAAAATTTTTTGTTTCGAACATAAACTTAAATGTTCTCAAAACGACTAAAAAACCTGGCCAGTTTTACGCAACTAAATATAATTTCCGTGGTCAGTATTCGAGAACGATCGCTCCTGCTTCCCGACCAAGCCTGAATCATGTTTTTTTATTTTTTTAAATTTGAAAAATTCTTACGGATAATTGTAAATACTTAAAATTATTGAACTCTTAAGTGAACTAAACTATGTACACACACATACTACCAGTCAACATACTGGCTACATCAGTAAATACTCAACATCATAATTTTTTCTATTATTAAGAAATTTTTTTTAACATTATACAATTTTAAATTTTGGCACAAGTTGCTTAAAAATAATCACAACTAATTATGTAATCTACGTATAGTTTGCTATGTTTATAGTCTGCTATGTGTATAGTCTGCTATGTGTATAGTCTGCTATGTGTATAATTTATTCTGTAATCTGCTATGTGTATAGTCTGCTATGTGTATAGTTTATTCTGTAATTTGCTATGTGTATAGTTTATTTTTAGGTTGTAGTCTGTATCTATAATATATATCAGGCCTTGCGATAAAGCGTCGGGCGATGTGAATTTTACGTCGTCCAAGAGCGATTTTGCGTGTAGCTAGGGCTATTTGCGTTGAGCAAAAAAAATTTTGTTTGAGTATATTTAAAGATATTTTTTAGGGGAATTTTAATGAAGTAATTAACAATTATTTTAACATTTAAAAAAATATTTTAAAAACCGCACGCAGTTGAAATAAAAGTTTGAATTAAAAAAAATTAAATATGATCATTATTTACAAGTAGAAAAAATTCAGATTAAAAAAAAAGTTTAAATCTTTTAAGCTAACATTTTAATAAAATTATTCAGCAATAGCAAAGTTGTCGATAAAATTGAACAAAAATACTTTCTTTTAGTTTTAGATTTTAAACTTAAATAATTATTTTACGGGGGTTTGTTAGGTTTTAAAAAAAAAGATTTAAAAATATTTATTAACTGTTAGACGTATTTAAAGTATTTAAGAGTAATTTCGAGGAAACATTTTAAAAATTGGTGAGCGCAAATAAAAAAAAAAAGGATTAATATTAAAATGTATTCTACTTGATTCAATAAAAAAGTACAGTTATTAAAATTTTTGTAAAAAATAACTCAAAAAAATTACTTAAATAATAACAATCGCTTTTATGTTAAAAGTTACTGAAACTCAACGAAGCGTGCTCAAGAACAGCTGCTGAAAAATAAAACGTTAATAGTTTTTCGAATAATTTTTAATAATAATTTTTAAGAAAAATTTTTTCGCTGAAATATTTCTTTTATACCTATAAGATTTTTATATTACTTGAAACAAAATTCCTTGTTAACATTAAAAATCTATTCAAAACGTTCGTTTAAGTTTTTTATTAATACGAGTGATTGTGCTTATCAACCGCTTTATGAAAATAAATAAAAATAAATAAATATTATATAAAATCGCTTGTAAAAATATTAGCTATTGCACAGTTTTTAATCGTACAATATTAAAATTTCCAGTTTATTACTCGCTGACTTTTTAAAAAGAAAAAATAATTATTTGAAAAACTTTAAATTACATATTTAAGAAAAAAAAAATCAAATATTAGCATATTTTTTAATCTTTTTTAAATTTAAGTTATAATGTTTTTTATTCGTTTAGTATAGACAAAACCTGAAAAACGTCGAGAAAATAAACAAATATTTTTACATTTTAAAAAACGAAACATTCCAAAACATTTTTAAATAACATTTCTACATAAACGATTTAAAGTAGTTTTGCGGTAATTAAGTAAATTGGTGCAGTTAATGTCGATAAATATGAAAAGCAAATAAAAAGAATTTAATGATGTCAAAAATCACGTCGTGCTTATGCGTCGCGCAGTTCTTATTCATCGCAAGGCCTGATATATTTTTTTTTTTGCACTAATTATAACAGAAGCTTTATTGTGTCTACATGAAAAAAAAAATTAAATGCTGTAGTTGCAAAAGTTGAATGCAAAATATTTATAAAAGTCAAGTTAAATTATTAAAAGACTCAAACTAAAATTACTTTGTGCATTAAAATTTTTAAAATTTCATTGAACCATAGAAAAACTGTTACATTAACCTGTAAAAATTACATTAATCTATAAAAATCTGAAACATTAACATGTAAAAATATGTGAATTTTGCTCTAAACATACATAAGAAAATAATTTTTTACAAGTTAATATAACAGACAATAATTAGTTGTTTAAACCAAAAAAAATTATTTAACAATTTTAAAACAATAAATTATTAAAGTCACTTCAATAAAAATAAAAAATAAAACTTTCAACTAGTTTAAACCATATAAATAGTTTATTCAGTCAGGCCAGGACCAATGCCTTATCTTACAAAGCAATAAATAAACACCTCACCTCATGAAACCATACAGTTTTTCCATCTTGCTCGTATCCAAAAGGAGACAAACGAAGACTTGCGCCTTGATCTGCTTTATAAGCCTCAAATAAAATTGATTTAAACCTTGGGTTTTCATCGAACTGTATATCACATAGCGCCTGAAAACAATTTAATGTTTTAATTAAAAATTTAAAAAAATAAATTAAAATTTTACATTAAAATAAATTAATTAATTTTGATTTAACAACTTTAATTTATTTTTAAAATTTTGAAATTTTTATGTTCTGACTTTCTAGTTAAAGTCTGTTTCATTATGCAAGATTTCGTATAGCTAAGTATGTATTTATATTACTAAAACATTTTTTTTGATTTTTTATAAAATTTAGAATTGCTTTATTGATTGATATCATGATTATGATTTGATATTAATTTGATGTGAATGCAAGCTTTGGCAGGAACTTTAACTCTCCCAGACTCTCCTAAAGTGGTTTATAGAGTTAACTTATGGCTTTTTTCTCTATTTTTAGGTTTTGATTAAAAAAATTAAAAATTATTGTGCAAACTAGATCAAATAAAAAAGACAAAATTTGAGTTTCAGATTGACTTTTTTTGCTTACATAATACAATTATTTACCTTTTAATGCGTAACAGTCACTGATTTTTTTTTTGCAGTGCTTGAGATTATATTTTAGCTATACAAAATGGCTAACAACTTGTTGATTTTATAATATAAGTTATTTTTACTACAACAATCGCTTTGTTTTTTAATATAGCAGAATTTTAGTATTATAAATATGATACTTATTTATATAATTATGTGAATACAAATATTACATAATTATAACATAATAAAAAAATATAATAGAATTAGTAAAAAAAAAATTTTGCTGTAACTAAGATGAAAAATACAAAAGTTATTTTAGAATTAAAACAATAACTGCAAAATAAACTGCAATGCTTTTTTAAAGGGGCAGTTTTCGCAAAAAAAAAAATGTCATCCTAATAAAGCTGTTATTTAAAATTCAGTGTTTAATACTAAAAATTTTTTAAAATACATTTTAAAAATATATATTTTTTAATGTTATAACAGCTTTTTTTTTATTTTGCATAAAGTCATATATATAATAGGGTACAATCTCTCTAATTTGAATCTCCTTAATTCTAAAACCTCCATAATTTGCTTAAATGCAAAGTCACCATAAAATGCGCTTAAGAAATTTTTATGTTTAACTTTCTATAATTTGAATCTCTATAATTCCACAATTGGAATGGATTTTTTAGACCTATCAGTAAGATTTTCTCCATAATATTGTGAGTTTTTGAAAAACGATAGGGTAAATTATTTTTTGTTTAAAAAAAATCACGGCATCAAAAAGACATAAAGAAAACAATTTAAAACGGAAGTAAAAAACTCTAATGGAATTGAAGAAAGGAAAAACAAATAATGGGGTTTCGAAAATTTTTGATATTCCACCAAAAACTCTTTCAACCTGGAAAAAGTATAAAGACAAAATCTTTGATGCTTTTTGTAAAGGTAATTTGACTAAACAGGTAAAGGTTGATTTTTGAAACAAAGCTGTAGTTAAATGATTCAAATGAATAAGAGCTGATAATTAGTGGTCAATTAGTGGCTTGCTGGTAAAATAAAAAGCTTTATATTTCGCGATAGATCTATGCTTCAAAAATTTTCAAGCTTCGGAAAGATGGCTAGACTAATTTAGGAAAAAGTAAACTAATTTGGAGATAATTTGACAGAGGCTTTTAAAGATATAAATTGTGTCTTTGACATGAATTTACTAGCTCATAAAAGGCTAACTACAATTACTGACTTTTTTTTCAAATTCAAAAGTATATAATATATATTCAAAAGTATATATAATATATATTGCTTTTAGGCCTAAGAATTACTATTTGTTTATTTGTTTGATTCCTATTTGTTACTTTGAAAAGAATATTTTTTAAAAAATCAACTTTCTATAATTCAAAAATCTCTCTAATTCGAACTTTTATTTTTCCCCATAAAATTTGAATTAGAGAGATTGTACTGTATAAAATATAAAAATATTACACATTAAATTATCATAACAATTTTTACATTATGTAATGTAAACTAATTATAAAAATATATGTAATGAATTATAAAATATTATATAGATTTGTCTCAATTTGAGCAAAATAAAAAAATATAAAACACAATTAAATGCTAAAAAAATTGTAACTATATGAACAGTTTTTATTGTGGAATTTGTAATTATTATAATAATTTCTAAACTTTCTGCAGTAAGAAAATACAAATAAAAATTACACTAAAAACTTTTGTAGCTTTGTCAAATTTTTTATAAATTAATTAGAGTTGTTAATAGATAAATGAATAATTAATGTGAAAATCCAAAGAAAATGCTTGTCTTAAACATTTTTCACAACATGACAAACAACGCTAATTATGTATATATTCTTGTAACATTAACGCTACAAGCATATGTTTGCAATGAGTATAAAATCCAGAAAGCTTGCACAAAATATGAAGGTTCTTGTAGGAAGCTTTCTGGATTTTATACTCATTGCAAGATGTAGGTAGTTTCTTGTAGGAAGCTGTTTAGAGGAACAGCTCACATGGCTCGCCATGTTTGTTTTAGGAGAGCTTTTCTCTGCTCTCGTACTCATTTATTCTTGCCAAGGCCTATAAAGGAATGTTTAAATGTTTAAAATATTATAACTATTATTGTTGGTTAAAAAATTATAACTATTATGATTTAAAGTTGTTTGTCAAATTTCAGATTATATTAGATATTACAACTTTACAATTTTAGTAGTTTTTTCAAAACAAAAAAAAAATAACATTAAATAAACTTTTTAAATTGCAAATTTATTAGCTGATCTCTAATAAAAATTCATTAGCACTTGTAGTCCATTTTTACATTCCAGTTAATTTTTTAAATTCATTTCTGATAGTGTTTCCTTGGCTTAAAGTGTTTTTCAATTGATAAGATTGAATTATTATATTATTAATTAAAGATTTTTTTGCAATCCCTTAGATAGTAATAAGTAACTAATAGTTTTTTTTCTTTACAACTTGACTACGGCTATTTTAATGTTTTAACAATTTAAATGCAATAAAAAAAAGCGTTACATTGTAAATAACTTTTTTTAATTGTTGATCTTTTCTAAAGTTTTTATTTTACGCGAAGGCTTTAAATAAAAACATAAAACTAATTATAATGATCGCTTGAATAAACGCATTTTATGTAAATTAATAAAAAATATAATATATAATTTTTTTTTTGTAGGCATCTATTTTTAATGATAAACTTAAATGTTTTGAAACTATTTTTCCATGTCTTCCTAAAAATCTTTTAAATGATTATTTTTTAAAAGAATTTTTTTTAAGTTATTTTAATTTATGAATAAGTTCAAAACTTTTTGCAACGACTTTTTGCTTAGAACTCGTGTAGGAACATGTTATATGAATTATGCAAGAATAAAAAATAATCTTATTAACTTACATGTATTTTGTTGATTAATGGAAAAGATTTGAAGCATTTTGTAATGTTCATACGATTAATTTTTATAACTAAACTTACGATTTTTTAAAATCTTCTAAACAAACTATTTATTTAAAAAAAATATATATATATATATTTTTTTTTCAATTACGATAGAAATGAATGAGTTTAAACTTTCATAACAATTTGCAAATTCGTTACATGAAACACTTATTAATAAAAAGCTACAAATTGTTTGAAATGCTTATACTAAAATGAAATTGCTAGTTTTTTTTCTTTTTATTTTTATGAACAAAAAAGTTTTAAACCTTTTTTTAACTTGACTTACTAATTAGAGCATGAAATTATTATTTTTAAAAGACTTGTATTTTTTTAATTTTCATTTTTTTTTTTGCAACTTTTGAAAAAAAAAAAAAATGTTTATACAATTTAAAAATAATACATAAAACACTTTTTAATAAATTTGATGATATTTGTTCATTTAATAAACAAAAGAATTAGTAGTAATTTGTTACTTAATTTAAATGCGTTTTGCATAAATTATTAAATGTTTTATTAGACATTTTTTATTGAGGTTTTATAAAACGTTTAAAAGATAAGTTTTAATAGCATATATTTCAAATGCAATTAAAAACGTAACAAAAAGTTTTGCCTCAAGTTGAAGTTTTGTAAATTTATTTTTATTTTAGTGCTTAAATATTTTCTTTTTTGAAAGGAATTATTTTTTCTTTATTATTATTATTTATATATTTATATATTTATGACAGGAATTTTGATTAAACTATAAACTGGAAAGAGAAATGAACACTAAAAAAAAAAAAAAACTAAATAAAAAAAAAAAAAATTAAATAAAAAAAAAAAATCCTAACAAATGATAAAATGAATAAAAAATAAACCAAAAAAAGTTTCAAAGTTATTTAATCAAAGCTTAATTACTTTGAAACTTAATTATTCAAAAATTTGAAACTTTTATATTTTCTAATGGCTGTAAAGAAAATAATTGTATGCATGATCGTAAAAAGCATGCAGTTGCATGCGTCTCCTGAGAAGGCTTGAGAAGTGCTTGCATATATCTTTGTGAGAGTGCTTGATGAATTAAAATGTAAAAAAGTAAATTAAAATGATTTAAATTAAAACAGAGCTGTATTTATATATTTTTTTTATAAATAAAACTACATATTTTTCACTACTATAAGTTTCATGCTAAATGCAATCATCATCATCATCATCATCATCATCATCATATATATATATATATATATATATATATATATATATATATATATATATATATATATATATATATATATATATATATATATATATATATATATATATATATATATTAAAAAACTACACAAATAAGAGCTTTTGGAGCACTTAGGAACAGTAAAAGAAAAAGGATGAGACTTAATTGAATGACCAGTAACACGAGGATGAATTTTAGTAGATGGCACAAGAGACGCTAGCTCTTTAGAGCAGTGCCCATTATAGTATTTGTAGAAAAGAGAAAGAGAAGCAATATTACAACGATGTGACAGAGGTTGGAGGTTGGCTGCAAGAGCAGGTCCAACTATGTTTACAATGCGTTTTTGCACCTTGTCTAAAAAAGAAAGGGCATCATTAGAAGATCCGCCCCAGATATGGCAACAGTAAAAAAGTGTCGAGCTCGATAAAGAGAAGCAACTTTAGCAGATGCTAATTTTGCAACGGATATGATATAAGGTTTCCAAGAAAGATCAGAAGTAAGAGTTAATCCTAGAAGATGAAGGGTAGGAGACTCATCGAGTACATTACCGTTCATAAATATAGGAAGATCTAAACTATTGCAATAACGATTGGCCGAAAAAAATTGAGTTTTGTCTGAATTAAAGTTCACCAGCCATCATCTTTATCATCTGGGATAACAGATACTGCTTTCCAGCAGGCTGGAAAACAAGACTCTGATAAGCACTTGTTAAATAGTTTTGAAAGAATAGACAACAGCTCCGGAGAACACTTCTGCAAGACTATAACAGGTATGTTGTCCAGGCCCCAAGCTGTAGAAGAGTCTAAGCAGGAAATCACTTTAGATACAGAAGCTGGAGTGATATGGATGTCGAGCAATGGATCAACCTGTTTGACGGCTATATCAGGTAGAGCGCAACTAGTGGAGTCAAGAGATGATATTGATGAAAAGTTCTTGGCAAACAATTCAGCTTTGTCTTTAGGTGAAGTGACAAAGTCTGAACCATACCAAAAGAGGTGGAATTACAGACTTGCCTATATTATTGATACTATTGAAGATTCTCCAGAAGTCACGAGAGCCTAATTTTTGTGATGAAATAAGATATTTCATGATCTGAGAATAGCGGGCTTTGGCAATAGACAAAACCTTTTTACAATGGTTCCTAGCAGTAATAAACAGATGTCTGTTTTCTGTAGAATTGTTTTGCAGATAGATATGGAAGTAATGGTTTCGATTGGCAATTGCAGCAGCACAATGCAATGAAAACCATGGAGAAGAAAGAGGCTTGACCTGGAATCGTCGAGAGGGAATAAAGGATTCCATGCCAGCCTGAATCCACAAAGTTATGTAAGAAGCACATTTGTCAACAGGAAGACCCAGGGGCCATCACAAAGAAAATCACTGAAAGAGTCCCAGTCAGCTTAAAGGTAGTTGTAATGTTGTACGATGATAGGGGGATTCTGATGATAAAGAAGAATGAGATAATAGTTTTAGAGAGACCAAACCATGATCGGAGGCACCTAAGGGTGAGTGTGGAGAAACTGAGCACTGACTAGGATTAGAAACAAGACATATGTCGAGTAGAGAAGGTAAATGATTCGGCTTATCTGGAAAGCGAGTTGGAAAGTTGACTATTTGAGTTAGGGATTGAGAAAAGCAAAAGCTGTGGGCCTTAATGCCTGCAGAGTCAATGACACTAAAGCCAAGCCATTCAGTGTGATGAACATTGAAGTCACCGACAACAACAATATTGGCTGATAGATAAAGAGAGAGGGCTTGGTCAATATGATCAGAAATAACATCAAGAAGAGTCCAGTCTTAAGATGAGGGAGAGCAATATAGAACAAAGAGAAAGGTGATAGAGTGAAGTGGTGATAAACGAAAGCACATAAAAGAGTAGTCTGTGGATTCAAACCTAGTTTCCCGACAAATGGATGAATTCTTACAAATGTAAATGCCCAGGCCAAACATGTGACTATTGGAGTCTTTACGAATTAAAGGAAGATAACCATCAACACTAAGATCACAAGATGAGACAGAAGAACTCAAATTAGTCTCACAAAGAGCAAGTAGGTCTGGTGAACTTTGCAAGAGATAAGACTCAAAAGAAGAAAAGTTGCTTCGAAGACCGCGAATATTGGTAAATGATAGGTTTAGCAAACTTGGTGATGGCTGTGGTTTTTTGTGTTTTATAGTTTTTGTTACTTTATTCATTTTAAAATTTGTTAAAGAACTTGACTCGAAACATAGATAGTACTAAGTACACTGTTTTATAGCCCAAGCAATTGCCTCATTTCTATTAATAAACCTAAAGCTGTAACAAAAGGCTTGAATGTGGCCTTGGCAATGTACACCTAAAGTACAAACAGGGACGCCATCCATGCGCAACATGGCACTGTTAGTACTCTGATATTTTTCAGCCTTTCTGAGAGCTACCACAGAGTTCGGGAAACCTGACTACCAGCCGGCCTCAGAACCATAAAACTGAGTTTTAGAGCATTTGGAGATAATAGAATGAGTTGCCTAGTCATAAAAAAGAGTGACACAAGCAAAACCCATGCATCGAATCAAGAAGATCCAGCGTTCAACATCCTAAACTGGAAACAATGTATTAAAAATACATCAGGTGCCAGCCTAATAGATGAAGAAGGGGTGCGAGGTTGGTCAACAGATAGAATCTGTTTACCCCTTAAGTCTTTGCCTAGGAGGCCTTCTACAAGACAGCAGCCGGATGCATTTAACATCTGCCCAAGATGAGTATTTTTATCGAGACATTATCTCTAGCCTTTACTTAACCAAGAGCCCCAAGGCAGGGGTGTTTTATGTCAGAGTTTGCATCTCCTAGCCTTTGCTTAAAAAAGTGTATCCTACAAGGCAGCAGGATATGAAGCAGATTGTACTGGGTTACATGTTACCAGTAGCAGGATAAACCTGACCTGACCTTAAAAATATATATATATATGTATATATATATATATATATATATGTATATATATATATGTATATATATATGTATATATATATATATATATATATATATATATATATATATATATATATATATATATATATATATATATATATATATATATATATATATATATATATATATATATATATATATAAGGCTCAATTTAATTTTTTATAAAGTCCCAGACAAAATGTCCGATTAAAACTTGTTTGGGTCGGACAGTATCTGATCAAATTTTAATTTTAACAGTTTTATGGAACCAAGTTATGCAATCAAAATCTTTGTCATTTTATAAAGTTTATTTAACGTTAGTTATTTTAAATATCTCATCGCAGATTTTTGCTTTTTTAAATAAAATAGTTCCAATTTAATATAGCATGTTTTAGATAGACTTGAACTTGCATGCTATAACTGACAACGCTTTTTTTTTTCATTCTTTACAACTTGACAACATCTTTTTTATTCTTGACAACTTTTTTGATGTTTTAACTATTTAAATGCAATTTAAAAAATCGTTACATTACAAATAACTTTTAATCATTGAACTTTATTAAAGTTTTTATTTTACATGAAGGTGTAAAATAAAATCTTTAAAAGCTTTAAAAACTTTAAATAAAATCAAAAACTTTTAAAATTTTTAAATAAAATCAAAAATTATAATTTAAAATTAACAGATGTGTAAATTAAATGTTACATTTAATTTTTTTTTAGTAGGTATGTATTTTTTATAATAAATTTAAACATTTGAAACTATTTTTAAAATAGTTTCAAGCATTTAAATTTATCATAAAAAGTCTTTTTAAAAATCTTTTATTAAAAGATTATTATTTTCAAAGTTACTTTAAATTATGAATAAGTTTAATCTTCCCAAGATTAAATTGCTTTTTGTTTGTTTGTTTCTATTTTTTATTTTGTTTCTTTTAAATAAATATATTATTATTTTCAAGTTACTTTAAATTATGAATAAGTTAAATCTTCACAAGATTTAATTGCTTTTTGTTTGTTTGTTCCTATTTTTACAAAGAATTCTTTAAAAGTTACTGTTTTTTTTTTTAAATTGACTTTTAATCAAAGAATGAAATGGTAAAAAATTACAATTTCAAAAAGATGTTTTTTTAAACAATCTTTTTTGTTTGCAATTTTTTGAAAAAAATGTTTAAATAAATTAAAAATATTATATTTTTTTCTTTTCAATAATTTAATTTCACTTTTCCATAATTTAAATAAAATTTGTTTCTTTACTAAACAATCAAATAGAAGTAATTTGTTTTTATTTTATGCAAAGGCTTAAAGTAAAAACATAAAATTAATTATAATGATTGCTTAAATAAACGCATTTTGTGTTAATTAATATAAACTATTATATATAATTTTTTTTTTTTTTTTTGTAGGCATCTATTAATGTAGGCATCTATTAATGTAGGCATCTATTAATCTTTTACAAATTACTTCTATTGATTGTTTATTTATTAAACAATCAATAGAAGTAATTTGTAAAAGCGTTTTGCGTAACTTTAATAAAATGTTTCAAAAGATAAGTTTTAAAGTAATTTATTTCAAACGCAATTAAAAACGTAACAAAAAGTAATTTTAACTTAGAGTATTTTGAGTTTTATCTTTTCATTTATTTTTAATTTACTTTACTTTTAATTTAATTTTATATATATATACTGATTTATTTTGTAGAATTTAATTCCCTTTGGTCAAAATGTCTGATTATTTTGTAAATTGATCGGATAATTTGAGGTTTTAACCGGACAATGTCCGATGCCCGACCATTAAATTTAGCCCTGTATATATATATATATATATATATATATATATATATATATATATATATATATATATATATATATATATATATATATATATATATATATATAACTTTAAAGTATACCTTAAGTAATTGTAGTTTTTGTGCACAAGTTAGTATATGATAACCAAACTGTTCTAAATCCCAGGCAAAAGGAAGTTCTGCCATTTGAGCAAACTAAAAGAAACAAAATTAAATAAATCAGAAACAAAGGCATTTGATTTTTTATTTCTAATTTTCATATGTTAATTTTTTAGATAGATAATATTAAATTAAAATGAATATGAATAAAAAAACATTATTTAAAACATTTTGTTTTTTTAAGCCTATAATTTTCGACATTATGTGCAAAAATATATTTATTTTCCTAAAAATTTTTCTTTTGTTTATTTGACTTGAGATTATTTATTAGAGATTAAAAAAATATATAAAAAATATTGTTTTTAACTAAATGCATTTTATTTAGCATAAATTCGCCTTCCCAAGGGCATGAAGGCCACCACAGTGGAGGACACTACTTTAGTTGTGGTTACAACCCTCTCTCAACTCTATAACTTCAAAACACAAACCTTGACAAACTAGGCCGCTGCGTGGAGAAACAAGTTAAGCGTGGTACTACCAGGAACATGGTGGGGGTCTCTGAACTTCTCACTTATGAGGCAAGCGCTCTACCACTACACCTAGTAGTGTAGTGGTAGCGCATTTGTTGTTTAAATTTTCAACTGAACTTTATCTATATAGACAAAAATACCTTTAAAACAGTTTTAGACAACTTGTTTGGTTTAAAATTGGATAAAATCGAGAAGCGAGGAGATTTGCTAAGTTTGCGGAAAAGTTTGGTATGTAGGGATTCCAACACTCCACTGTCTTCTAAATATAAGTAACATATTTTTAAATACTTTTTTAATACTACATACATAAATATCTTCCTAATATTAAAAAATATATCTTTTTAATACTTTATATATAAATATCTCCCTAATATTACATATACAACACACATGCAGAGTTAACAGAGTATAACAGGAGTTTTAAAGTATAGGAGTTTAAAGTGCAGGTGTTTTAAAGGGATCCCAATCTTCTGAGCCATGTTGTATTCAAATTAAAGAGAATGATAAAAAAAAAAATGTTTAGGCTAAATATTTTTAAAACAAAAGATTAAATGCATACCAAGAAAAACTAACTTTTTTGTTTTAGTTGAAGCTTGCCTTTTCCATTTTGTTGTAGGCCAAATAGTATTTACAATATACGCCGCAATTTACAGACTTGATAATTTTATCAGACTTGATAAAAAGCATTTTTATCATATGAGTTTTAGGACATGACATCCCAGACTTTTTTTGTTCAAATCAATGATGTCATGTACTAAAACTCTTAGGAACAAAAACTCAAATAAATTATCAAGTTTGTTAATTGCAGCTTATGAAGACTACTGCTTACCTAATGAGTGTTTATAATTGAAAAAGAATTAAAATTAAAAATTTAAATGACTTAATCAAATGTTAAAAATAAAAAATTCTACAATATAATATTTTATTAAAGAATTTCTTTAAAACTATATTACTCTTGAGTCCCTAATTAAAAAAAAAAAGGGGGGGAAACATTTATTAATTTTTGGAAAATTTTCCCACCCACCCAAAGCTTATTAAGACCTCCTCCTTTCCCCTTTCTCTCCCCATTCCCCCTCTCTCTCTCCTTCCCCCTCTGTTTACATCTCAAAACTAAAAAAAAAAAAAAAAATCAGAGAAAATCAGCCTTAAAAATAATTGTCGATAAAAACAAAAACTTTCAGTGTAAACAGGCTTTAAAAATCGCCCATCAGGTAAATCTCAATTCAGCATATTAAATCCAATTAAAACTATGCTAAAACAGCTGTTCGAAAATGCACATTTGACTGCAAGCCACATTAGAATTAAACAGTTTTGAGCATATTTTGTAAAAAATATTAGTTTAGATTTATAAACTAAACTTTTTTATAAAAAAAATACTTATTTTGTATCATTAAAAAATTCCCACTCCCCCATTTTATTAACAACTCCTTACTCCCACCCTATTTATTATATCTAGACTAAAATCCCCCCCCTCTCTTGTATTAGGGACTTGAGAGTAAGAGCTTTAACGATAACGTTTTTTTTTTTAAAGCAAGAAATGTTTTTAAGTTATTTATTAACTGAATTACTTAACTATTTATTAACCATTTATATAAATATAAATTAACACTGCGTATAACACTATATTCTGAATTGGTTTAAAATTCCAAAAGATTCAAAAGCAAAAAAAAAACTCTATATCAAGCTCAGATTGATAGTTACACTAGACGTGTAGAAAACATAATTACTATGCACAATGAAGAAAAAAAACTAAGTTGATCAATTTATTTTTTTTATTAAAAGCGTCATTAACAACAAAGACCATTCATTCAAAAGTTATAAAAAAATTTCATAATTGCTGTCAGTTATTTTCTAGTTAAGATTTGATTTCAATATGATTAATAAATTATTATTTTTATTTATTCTTATTATTTAAAAACTTTTTATTCACATAGTTATTTTTAGCTAGAAAATTACAAAAATCTTTTCACATTAACAATAAATAATATACTTTAACATAAGTTATTAATGTTTTTATATTAAAAATACTTTCGGTAAACTAAATTTGCTTGTAATGTACACCAAAAACAATAGCAACAAAAAAATCAAAAATGAAACTTGCAATGGAACCTATCATTAATGTTATAGTTGCGTAAAACATAAGAAAATATAATTAAATATACTTAAATTTTTATAATATTTTTCTATTTCATTTACAAATGCATAAGTTTAATTTACAAAAACAATACAAATACAAAATTTATGTAAATTTTGTATCTGTAAATAAAAAAAAATTAATTTTTGTATTTAAATATTTTTTAAATTTAAATATCTAGTATACTAGATATTTAAATGCACCAATTAAATTTACTTGTTGTCCTCGTGCAAAATCTTACTCTAACATATAAAATGCATATTGCAACAAAAGTTCTATTAACTAACATTCTACTGGACTAAAATTGGCGAGCCAAGCAAATATCTCATTTAAAAGCTATCAAGCTATCAAAAAATTTCTCATTTAAAAGCTATTGATTTAAATAAGTTTGTTTACTTATCACCAACAAAGTTTTAAAGACTTAAATATCTTACTTAAAATAACTTTAAATTTATTTAAAATTAACACATAAAAATTTATTTAATGATAAAAATTATAATATAAAACTAATGAACAAAAATATCTATGTAAAAAAGTTCAAAAAAATAAGTTAAATAAATATTTATTTAGTATTTAAAAACTTTAATATTAAAAAACTTTACATAAAATATAATATATTGTATAAACACTATATTATAGTATTTTTAGCGACAGTCCTCAATTAAAAAGTTGTTTCAGCTATTGAAAAAGTTAAAAGAGAATCGTGGAAACTGTTAAAAATGTTTGTTTTTTTTAATTTAATACTATTAGGCTTTTTTTATTTATTTTATAATATAAAAATGAAAGTAAAAATAAAAAAAGGAAATTTATGTAAATAATTGTTGAAACTTTTTAAAACTGTATTTAAAAGCAAAGTACACAATTAAAATAGATCAAAGTATCAAACCTATTCAAACTTTAATTCCAAACAATTGTTTTTCATTCTTGTTTTTGCTCAACTATATAACATGTGATATGTGCGCACACAAAGAAAAGAATTAATTTAAATATAGAAAACTTAAGAAGATTGCTGAGAATGAAACAAGTTGAAAAACTATAATATAACATTTATAATATATATAAGTATTTCTGCTGTGAATATAACCCACCAAAAAAAAATCATTATAAAAATATTTATGTATCTAAAAATGGTCAAATTTTTAGTAGTACCGCGACAATGATTTTTAATCATTGTTGCGGTACCACTAATCATTTTAATCATTTTTTCAATCATCATTTTAATCATTTGGATTTATCTAGTTTAGTTTTATCCTAAGATAAGGAGTTGATTTAAAGGCATTTTTTTGAATACATGAATTTACCAGTGGACAATGTTACTTTAGATACGATTAGAAAGCTATTTTACCTGAATCTTTAATAAACGCTTTTGTTGCAAATACTACTCTATTAGTAAAGAATTATTAAAAATTGTCTAAAGTATTTTTAACATTTATAAAGTAAATTTAATTTTAGTAGTTATTAATGCTTTAAATAATTGTAATAAAATGTTTAAATACTTTAAACAATTTTTAATCAATATTTACTTTACATAATATTAAATTGCATAATATTTGTAAAATTAACAAAATAGTTATATGTCTTGTATTCGAATTAAAAATATAAGCATTTATTAAACGTATTTAATAAACCATTCAAATAAAAAATATAAGCATTTAATAAATGTATTTACTATTATTTTAATTTTAAAATTTTGATTTAAATATTAGCAAAACTGTTCATTTAACTTTAAATGAAGGTTAATAATTTTTAAAGTGATTTTAAGGCGCTTTTTAAATAAAAGATAATTAAGGAAGAGATACTTACAGTAAACATAATTAAAAAATGTTATACATTTTTTTATTAAAAAGTATATTATATTTTTTTAAATATGCTTTTTTAATTAAGTATAATTTAAAAAATTTTGTTTATAAATTATATTTACTATGGGTTATTTTAAACAGAAAAAAAAAGACCTATGTACATATTAAGATCCACTTTAGTACTACTCAGAAGAAATGTATTTAACAAATATAAACTAACAAGACGTACTTAAAATATTTTTGAACAAAATAATGAAAATAAATTTTACCACCACCAGTGAAAACTTTTGTTGAGTCTAATGAATGCTCTAATTCAGGCATAGTTATATATGGTAACTCCAAAAATACTCCAAACAACTCCAAAAATGAATAAACAATTGCAAAATCTGGAAGCTGAATTGTTCTTCCATCATACTTGCTTTTTAATAAATCATCTAATAAAATTTCTTCTTTGTTTAATTCATCTTCTTGATCAAATTTTGAACATGCTACCTCTTCCTTAACATTTTTCACAGATATTTGTTCACAAGGTTTTTCATTTTTTTTCTCTTCAGATTTAGACATGTTTTCAATTTTATCGAGATTATTCTTACAATTTAAAACAAGTTCTGTACTTGATTCATTTACATTTAAATCAATACAATCTTTAATGAACTCTGTTGATTTCATTTTGAGGTACAAAAGTATATATAAACTTTAAAGAAGCTTTTAAAAAAATTGTTTTTAAGTTTTGAAGTATTATCAAATAAAATATTCAGTACATAATTAAAACTATTAAAAGTTATAATTGAAAACTATAAAAAATAAAAAATTTGTTAATAGAACTTTATCTTTATAACATAGGACTATTTAGTTGTGTATTTAATTTGACATTATTTTTTTATAGAATGAATATTATATAGAGGCCATTTTTTGTTATTTTTATTCAATATGACCCGCGAAAACAAAGACAAGTTGTTACTTACGGCCCGAGAACTATTTATTTTAGAAGCTTTAATAGTAGCACAGGCCAATGAAATTTTTTTTTTTTTTTTTTTTTGCTTACAATATGTTTTTCTTATAGTATTCCTCATTCTATTTCAAATATACAATTCTTTTTCTTCTACTACGTCAAGCTTTTAAGATATTAGGGTTCAAATCGCAAATATTCGGGGTAAAATCCATAATATTTTTTTGATAATATTATTAAAAAAGTATTATGTATTTTACCTCAAATATTTGGGATTTAAACCATAACATCTTTAAAACTTGACGTGATAGAAGGAAAAGGGTTGCTTAAACTTTTTTTATATGTCAGAATGCAATAAATTTTTCCCTGGCTAACATCTTGATCATGTGCATCTTATTGAAAGTAAACAGCTCAAGGATTACAGAATGGGCTTAGTATCAGAATGAGGTATGCTATAAGAAAAACATATTGTATGCAAAAAAAAGTAAAAAAGTAAAATTTCGTTGGCCTGTGTCAGAGTTTTTAACACGGCCAAAGCCACACGTAACAAGTAAAAGGTCAAGACCAAAAGTTACAAAGCCAAGTACAAGAGCAAGGCCAATAGTTTTAATATCAAAGCTAAGATTAGGAGTTTTAAGGCCAAGGCCTACGCAAACACTTTCATGACCAAAGTTTTCAATTTTTGCCTAACTCTATTAACAAAACTCTAAGTAGCAAGTGCTATGTCAATAAAACCACATTTTATAAAAATAGACCAAAAAACGCAGAATTCAACGAAATCAATAAGAAAATATTTATTTAATTTTAAGGCCAAGGCCAAAAATTTTAAAGCCAAGGCTAACAGTTTCAAGGCCACGGCCTCAATTTTTGGCCTTAAAACAAGACCAAGGCCAAGAACTAACAACTCTGGCCTGTGTAATTTGAGGTGGAAAGTAAAAAATTAAATTTACTCGCGTTACTGAAATTGCGTTTTTTTGTAAATTAGAGCATTTAGTAAATTACTTTTACTTAAATATGTATTTTTTTAAGGTATTGTACTTCGCTACATTTAAAATCATATACGTTATTGAGTAAAAATATTTATTATGTATTAGTATTTTTAAATACCACACAAAGTATGATTTAATTCTTTTATTTGATAAAAAACTTTTTTATTGCTTTGTTTCCTAATAATTTTCACTAATGTTTTAAATAAAGCTATGAGTCGTTTACAAATTACGTCACGCGAAAAGAGGGTTAGCGATTTTGTGACGATTTGTTACAAGGGGAATTACTTTTTGTTTTTTAATTTTCTTTTATTCGGTCTTCAAAATTAAATAAAATGAAATTATAGAAATTTAAATGTTGTGGTATTTAAAGTCAAAAATTATGTCGTAGTTTATGAACAACCCTTATGAAGACAACAAATATGTGTACTGCTGATGTTTAAATTTTTAGTTTTTCTTATTCAAGTTTTAAAAGAAAATTTTAGAAGCATTTTAAAAGAATATTAAAAAAGCTGTTTAAAAATAAACGCGGTAAGTTTTTCTCTAAGTAAATTCTAAATGATCAATTTTTTTTACTTAAATACTTTTTGACTTGTAACGTTTACTTTAACCTGAATAAAATATCACTTAGGTAATAGTACTTTCATTTGAGTAAAAAATTGTGTTACTTTTTTCATCTCTGGTTATGATAACATAAAACAGTCAAATTTAATGCATAAAACAGTCGAATAATCTCTGGTCATAATAACATATAAACTGTCACATAATGCATAATCATGTGAATCTTATGACTATGATTAAATTATAATTAACTCGCAAAAAAAACTTGTAAAAAAAAAGTCTAATGGATAAAAAAAAGCAAAAAATTGTATAAAAGTTATATATAAAATATATATATAACTAATATATATATATATATATATATATATATATATATAACCAATATATATATATATATATATATATATATATATATATATATATATATATATATATATATATATATATATATATATATATATATATATATATATATATATATATATATATATATATATATATATATATATATATATATATATATATATATATATATATATATATATATATATATATATATATATATATATATATATATATATATATATAGTTTTCGGCCAGACAAGTTTTTTACTCAAACTTGTTTTCAAATTCAGTCGAATGGTTTTTTATTATAATGATATGTTACGATGAGAAATAGGAAAGCAAAATAATATAGTAGAAAGGTATTATTTATGTTTATGAATATATATATATATATATATATATATATATATATATATATATATATATATATATATATATATATATATATTACTATAGTTTTTATATTTACAAATGCAAAAGTTTCCAGCGAATTTGTGTTATTTGAAAAATTATTGGTCTGCATGTTCTATAATATAATTAAATTATACTTTTATATTATTATTTTGTACCCAAACTCTTAGCAGTGATAACAGCTGCAAAACGATGTGGAATTTTATCCCATTCATTCTTGAAGAAAGAAAGGGATAAAATTCCATATGAAGAAATTATTCAATGATTTGAATAATGCGGCTTTATTTGAATATGCATGGCCGACGACGCGGGTTTCCAAGTGGATGGGCACAATTGTGAATTTCTAAAAAAAGTTCTGAAAAAAAAAAAAAGAATAAGTCCTTTAGAAAAAAAGTGGAGGTTTTATAATAACAAGTTAAAAACATTTAACTCGTTATTATTTATAAATTCGTTTTTAAACATCCTTCTGGTTCAATGTATATTATGTGGCCGAATCCTTTGCACGTATAAGCATAACAGTTATAATAAGAATTACTATTACAAATATAAATAAATATTTTATACTAAATTATTTTGTTTCATATATTTCATACTAATAACTTATAGTGATTAAAAATAATTAGTAATTTAAAAATAAAAAATTAGAGTACAAAATATTACTGGCCGGAAACTTTTGCACGCCACTGTATATATATATATATATATATATATATATATATATATATATATATATATATATATATATATATATATATATATATATATATATATATATATATATATATATATATATATATATATATATATATATATATATATGAGAAAATCCGTTTAACATCTTTGTACGAAAAGGATTCGTTTAGTTAGCTTTGATTCAAGTGGAACAAAAAACTTTTTTTTTGCAGTCATGTAAAACCCATTTATGTTTTTCATTCCATTTTTGATGGACATGATGACTGCCTTAAATAAGAAGGTCAAGGCTGCTCTATAAAAGACGGTGACTTAACAACAGCAGTTAAATCGAATAGTCGATTAGTTTTGGGCGCAGATATGTACGAAAGTGCTGAGCCGGAAGTAAATGCTTTAAACGTATACAAACTAAATATGTACCAGAACTTGTTATTTATGTTTATATAAACTTCAAAATGAAATAATTCCAAAATATTTTTTAAAAATTTCTTTGTTATTAATGAAACAAGACACTCAGTAAGTAATTACTACATTACACTAACATCACTAAACAGGGCCGACGACACGGGTTTTGAAATAGGGGGGGGGGGATGGGATATTCATAAAAAAAAAATCCTTTAGAATAAACGTGCCTCCCTGGCACCCCTTTGTTGTTGCTTAAAAAATCCTTAAATGCTTAAAAAATCTCACTTCCTACGTGTCAACCACGCTCAGTTTTTAATGAAAATATGGAGAGAAAAAAAATCTATTGATATTTATAAAAGAACCATAAAAAAACACTAAATTTAAAAATACATGCACTCTTTCATTTTTTTTTTTTTAATTTTACTTTATGATATATCTTTCTTGTCATTTTTGTCAGTCTAATTTAATTTTGTATAAAAAATATAAATAGATGAACTTAAATCTTCAAAATGTTTTGAATCTCCTTAAATTCTAAACCGCTATTAAATATTTAAATATATATTACGTATTGCATTGATTATGTATAAGGACCGACGACACCGGAGGGGTCAGGGGGCACCTGCCATTCACATTTTTTTCTATATAACATTTTTTTTAAAAGAAATTTCTAGATATAGAAGACTTTTTTTTATAAATTGATGATTGTGCCACCACAACTTTGAAACTCGTGTCGTTGGCCTTGTGTATACGTATATGTACGTATTTGTTATTTTTTAAAGATTTTTTCTTTTTTCAAATTTTTTTTTTTTTTTAACTTTTTAATTTTACTCTTTTGAATAATATTAGAACTTGGAAAATTATATTTTATTTTTCTCTATTTAACGAAGGGACTTGATGATAAGACATTTTGTCTTCAACTGGCCCCAGTTAGAATGTAAGTATATATATTTATTAGAACTTAAGGATAACATTGTAAAATATGTGCAAATTGACAAAATAAATAAATGTTGTTTTTCTTCAACGTCACTTGAATCTTAATCAATAACAGCAAAAGTATTAAGCTTGTTTTGATGTAACCTGACAGTGCACTCTAAATGAAAAAAATCTTTCGAACTTTAAGCAATCGTGATGTTTGTTATGTGCATTATTACTGCAGACCACCCTATTTTTGACGTTATCAATTAAAACTGTTAGAAACAACCGTTTTCTTAAAATCCAATGTTACATACTTACGTATGTCAAACTCTTACTTTCAGATTAAACTACGTTTCATCTTTTGGAGCACCTTGTATAAGATTTACTAAGAATTTAAAAGATTTTATACATATTTCTTTGTTTACAACTATGAATTAAAAACAAATAAACAAAAAGTTTAAATTTAAAAAATTAAACTTTTTACTCATTTTCTTTACTTTACTTTTTTAAAAAAAATAATTTTTGCTCGACGGCGCATAGTTCAGCGCATGAATTAGGTAAACTCTCATTCATTTACTTCCCCATCTTTTAGATTTAATGATAACAATTTACTTTAATAAATGTTTAAAAGTCATTTGTATAATAAAACCTAAAGGAGAAGATCTTTCAGAAGTTACGCTTTTTAATGACATCTCATTAAATTCGAATTCTCTTTTTTTTTTTGGAATGTTCTTTCATCTTTTAATTGAAAGCTTTTCAAGAATAAATGTTGACGATACGCTTGAGTAACTTTATTTAATTTGGAAAATTCAGAACTAGATTGTCGCTTGCAAAAACATCTTAAAAGAAATAATAGTTTGAAAGGCGCAATTCGTTGTAACTTTAAAGTTTTCTTTGTAAGAAATTTAGATATTTAATAACATATAGTAAAAATTTATATTTGAATTTATTATCCATTATTTTAATAAATGTTTTTTTTCTTTTCCGACATTTTAGGCACATAATGCAGCTGTTTAACTCGTTTTGTTTTGTTTTCAATTTTATTACTAACTGCTTATTTTAGGTGTTTATCAAAAAAATAAATCATGGCGACAATGGCTCCTGTAACTCCCCTGCAACTCTCTACTGCACACGGTTATTGGTTTATAATGATAATTATTAGTAAAAAAAAACCCTGTAAATTCTTTAGTTGATAACTATGGCTGACGTTTTCCTTGATAAATTAAAATAAATAAATAGTTGTTACAAAATAAAAGTGTGTGCAACAGTCGGTCAATTATTTTTAGTTCAAGAATCGCCAAATGGATTGGCTTTTGATATATTATTAAAAGAACCCGTCTCTTCAAAAGTTATGCCAGCTTATTCCCCAACACCATTGTCTACTCCTGAAATCTTAGAAAAATTACGGAGTGCCGAAGAAAGGAAAAAGGTAAAAAAAAAAATGCATTTTTCAGTAATACGCTTTTAATTTATTGTATTTGAATTTATAATTTAAATTTTTTTTTCCGTTTTTTTTTTTTAATTAATATTTTAATTATATTCTTAATCATCACTTAACATGACGATTTTACAAAATAAAAAAAATTTAAATTTTTTCTACATTATTTGATGTTCACGAACGTAAGTTTTAGCATAAACTTTTTTAAAAAAAAAAGAATTCAACAAAAAATTTCAGAATTTTTTTATATTGGAATTTTCTAGTTTTATTAGTAGCTCTACTTTTTTGGTGTTGTTACAGCTTTTAAATCACATTACATTCCAAAAAGTTCTATTTCGTTTGTTTTATAATGTTTTAATTAATATTCAGCATATATTGGATGAAAAAAAACAACGGCAAACTACTCATGACAAACTCCAACACATGAAACGAACGGTCCTAGAATTCAACGAACACCATCAAAAACAAGCTAGTGATAAAGTGCAAAAAAAGTTTCTCACTGCAGAAGAACTTCTCACTCAGCAGAGAAAAGAAATGGAAGAGAAACAAAAAATAAGAGAAATGAGGTAGATAACAATTTTTTTTCTTAAACTTTATTACAAAAGGTTGAGTTATAATCTAAATCCTAAAAGAACCCTTTAGGGTTTGAGAAGTTGCATTTAGTTGTGTTTTTTTGCAACCCACAAAAACGCTTTTTTTTTCGTTAATTTTATAATTGTTGTTCTAGAGCGATCGAGGTGAAAAAAATACATGAGGAGAACCTTGAATTAAAAAGGTATCAAGCCGAATTAAAATTATCTCAATTAAAACTAGCTGAAGAAAATCGTGAAGCAGCAATGAAAATCATCGTTGATAAAGCTCGACAAGACCTTATAAAAGTAATTCTCTTTTAATCGTTACTTTTTTAAAAAAAAAAAAATTTTAACGTTTAATTTTATTGCTTTGTTTTCTTAAAGTAAAAAACTTTAAAAAAAAAAGTCTAAAAGAAAGTTCAAAAACTGAAAGCGTTTTAAAAACGCATTTTTTATAAATTAAAAGCTTTTTAAATGTTGCAATTTGCATTAATTTTACATACTTAATAATTTATCTCTACATAATGTAAAAATACAGCAAATATTAATATTTGCTGCTTAAAATGTTCAAATAGCGTTTATCGTTTACCGAACAACGCGTGCCAATAAATTTGCCAACTAGTCGTTTTAAAATACTAATTAACAATTTTTCATAATAAAGTATAACAAGTAGTTGCAATTACAAATTTTAATCAATTCCTGCTTACAAAGTATTTTGGCATTATTGTGTAGCAATTAGTGTTGCGAAGGTAAAATTTACCGGAAAATTTTCCGGTAAATTTACCGGAAAATTTTGAAAATTTACCGCCTGGTAAATTTTGAAAATTTTTTTCACTTATTTTTTTTTCTTTTTTTTTTTTTTTTTGATTTTTTAAAGGAAAATTTACCGTTCTCTAATTAAAATTTACCGGTAAATTTACCGGTAAATTTTACCGGTAAATTTTGAATCAAATTTTACTGGAAAATTTACATCACTAGTAGCAATTATGTATTATTTCTTTTTTTAAATATATAAATTCTTATGCTTAGGGTGAAATGCTTCGAGCCGAAAATCAAAAAAAGCTTGAAGAAAAGCTTGAAGAACTAGATGAGCGAGTTAGGTTAAGTTTGACAGAAGCGGAAGAAAAGCGAATGAGTCATTTAACAGAAATCAAAGAAAAGTGTGGTAAACACGTTGATGAAGCAAAACGACGAGCTGCTCTCAAAGAAGGTGCTCGACAAACTTAAAGTTTCTTATTTTTATAGTATTTTAGATGTGTTTATATATTGTTGACATGAAACGGGGATATTGAAAATAAATTGTAGCATATATACTGTCGATAAAATGTCCTAAAACTTTCTTATTACAAAGATTTAAATCAGACATTTTGTTGTTTTATTTTTCAATATTAAGTTAATATAAGGAAAGTACATGTTGGAACGATAGTTTTACGGTAATCGAGTATAAGTTTATCAACTGCAGATAGACAAATACTTTACTAGTGTAATATATATGGATACGATTTTACAAAAAAGTTGTTACAGATAATATTACAAAATTCAAGATATTACAATATTATTATATTATATATTATAATATACAGTATTAATATATTATATTACAATATATATTATTCAGTATTACAATATTCAAGAGTACGATAAAGTTACCCGAAACATTGCAAAGAAAACAAATTATACTTTTACAAAAAAAAAAAAAAAGGGGGGGGGGGTTTCTGAATAGTATATTGGTATATTAGTATATGGAAAATTAGTAGTATATTAGTAGTATAGTATATTAGTGCATGGAAAAGTTGAATATTAAATACGCTTACAACACTCGTGCAACCACAGGTCTTGTATTATTAATTATAAACCTGGTAACGAATCACAAAAATTTAATTCAATCGGAGACAAAATGACTTCGCGTTACTTCTGTTAAAAAAAAATAAAAACATTTAAAGGAAATCTTCCGTTTTAAGTTAATTAGTTTAAAACGGATTAACTTGGAACGTTGTCAAATTGATAACACGCCGAAATTTTTAATGACTAGAGGCCGAGTGCTAATAAGTAAAGTAGATGCGGACAAGGAGAGCAAAAAAACTATAATAATAATATATAAAAACTTTCTTAACAGAAAAACTGCAATAATGTTGACAAACTATAATATCCTTTTTATATAAGATGATAAAATTTAAATACAGACTCGTTGTCATGACAGTTTTAAAACGTTTTTCTTGGAGGCCTAGGAGCATCTTGGAGATTTTATATTTGCTAAAGTGCAGCAATGTCGGTCACAAATACCAAGTTCAAACTATCGATACATAAAAATTGCTTCATCAAAAATGTTCGATAAAATTCATTTGATAACTGCTCAAACGAAACCAAACAAAATATCACCATTGAACAAAATTGGCAAATGAAATAACAAGAGCTCCTCTATTTAGGTCGTCTACAAAGGTACCACATTCTTTATAACAAAGTTGTGTATTAGAATAATCATGGCCATTTATTCTTTGAACATAACCATCAATATATAAAATTGAAAGAAATGATTCTTCTGAAACTATTCCCCGAGTTCTTAAAAAGAAGTTCTCTCAAGTCATCACTTGAGAGAACTTCTTCATCATCACAGTTTCACACTCTTGCTCAGTTAAACTTCAAAAACAATTATTACGGGAATCACTATTGATAAAAACAATTATTATGGGAATCACCATTGGTACAATCATTAAAGCTATCGATTTCTAACTGTAGAGAAAGTTTTGCATGTTGAATGCTAACTTTTTCGATGGCAATTTGAGCAGTAATAAAATAGATTCCTTCAGAACACTGGCAAAGCTAGCTTAAAAAGTTTTTCAATGGATCATTTGTGAACCACCTCAGGATAACATAGTCATTTCTAAAATCCAAAAGATACCTTACAATGTTGATGAACCCCCTACACACATGAGAAATACATTCAGAGGTATTTTTTGTATGCTGCATAATACGTTTTGAGCCTGACTTATTCAACCTTCTGTCACCAGACTCTCATTTTGATTTGATAGTTGTTTTCCGCCATCCAATCAAAATGGTGCAAATTTATTCAACCATATCTAATAAATATAACAGACTTTTATCTGTGTTTGATCTTATAACTGAACGATAATCGTCTTTATAACGAATATCTGCTCCAACACCTTTCACATTACAAATTTTCAAAAACTTTAAAAATATAGAAATAAATTTGATGCTTTCAATAACTTCATCTTTTTTAATGGATGTATGATTTTTAAGTGCAGCTATCGTTTCATCACAGAAAACTCATAAACAAGTGTCAGCTTTCTGTTGCTCAATTGGTTTTGGAGAGATGAAAACTTCATTTAATTTACTAAGTTTTAAAAAATTGTTAGATTTCAACTCATAAAAATTTCAATTTTATTCATCATTTTAAAAAACTTTTGATTCTCTTAAATTTCCATCAGCAATAATTGATAACAGTTTTGCATTGGTTTGATTGTTAATTGATTGAATAATTGGTTTGATTTTTAATTGTTTTAATAATTGGTTTGATTTTTAATTGTTTTAATAATTGATTTGCATTATTTAAAAAAAAAAATCAGAATCTTAGTGACTATTGGAATCATTTTTACTAGAAACTCTGGTTCATCAAATAAACATTTTATCATTATAGCACACCATGGTTTTAGCAAGGACACCTAAATTGATCAGCAGAATTTCCAAACAATACACCACCATGATAATACACCACCTTGATAATACACCACCATGATAAGTTAATGTGGACTTAATATAAATTTGATCAACCAGCAACATTTATGTTGTGTATTTTTAATGCTCAATAAATTTTTCAAAAATTTCATACTATCTTATGATCAAACTTTTGAAGTGATTCTTGTCAAAGTTTTAATATTTGGTAACTTATAGTCATTAGAAATGTACAGAAACCTGAATATAGCAAAATATTTAAATGTTCGAATAATTATATCAGGAGGTAAGTAAAATCACAAACTTTCTTTAGAGACATCCAGTCGAGTCATATCTTCATCATTACTCGAACATATGTTTGAGTAATACATTTTTTTAATGGCAATTATTTTTATTTTTTAAGTAACATACAATGTGATCAGGGCTGTCCTGAGGGGGCGTAAGGGGGTGTTTTACTCCCTAACGAAAATCATATTCAATTTACTTGAAAGATTTTAAAAAACGTTGTTATACAAACTAAGATGGCATTTTAATACCTTGATTTTTTATTATTTTAAAAAATAATGCTGTTTGAAACTATAAAATATAATATATAAAAAATGCTACCCTAAAATGAGGAGACAAAAATTTTGTAATGTTTTTATAATTAAAAAAAATGTATTTTTAAAATATCAATGCTTGTTTAATGTTTGTAAAAATCAAAATATTCTGTAAGCAGCTTGACACATTCTCTTGACATATCGTTGCATTCTCCATGCAATTTTGGCAAAGTTTTTTTCTTCTAAAATAAAGCCAAATCACTTAGCTTTTTCTAAAACAAAAAAAAAAGTTTTTTTTAAAAAATAAAATAAGAAGAATTCATAACCAATAAATTGTGGTTTTTAAATTCTAAAAATCATCTGTTTACAATTTTTGCAATCTGATGTTATGCTAACTTAATTCACCCTGACCTTAAGCGCCGGAACATGAAGTTTTAGAGGTTTTACTCGAAATCATGCTTTTGTGGCCTCACCAGTTTTTATTGCTTTTGAAAAATCGGTAACTTTTTTCCCTTAATTATCAATAAATACAAGTAAATAACACAAAACAAAATATTAAACTGTTTATTATTTTTTAATGGTAATTTTAGATCTTCTAAAAAAGTTTTTTCACGATTTATTCATTATATTTACATTAAATAATTTCCAATTTGTATACACTTTTTTTGCATGGTTCAGTTCATGTTTTGTTTAATACTTTATGAGTTTTAAAATAAATCGCTTGTTTAGGTTTCAATCTGGTTATTGACCTTTATTTAGAATTAATACAATTTAATATTGAGCAGAGTGAACTTTGTTTATCCATGCCACTACATGCCAGCCCTAATGAAACACCAAACTCCCTGTTAATCCATCCGTGAGCAAGCGAGTTGTTACGGTTGATTAACTTTAAAAAATTGAGTTATCCAAAATTAAATATATATAACAACAAAAAACATATTTAAGACATTGCAACTGAAAAACTTTTTTTTACACTTTTTGTTATCATTTTTTTTTTTTTTTTTTTTATGAATATATATTTTAATCTTGTAAAATTAAATAAAAAAACTTAAACATCCCAGGTATGCTGTTTGTATGTCAGCTAGCTTATACGCTTTCTCAGTTAATTTGCTCAACTGAATTAAACGGGTTTGTTAAACGAAAATTAAGTAAACGAATGCCGTTTAAAGAGCCTAAACTTAATAAACAAATAAAGGAAAAATTTTAATTTGATGCAGGGGGTTTGTTTTTATGGTTGGGAAAAATTTGCGTTTTAAAAGTAAACTTCTAAAATAATTATTTAATGTTGCTAATAATTTATTATATGATATTCGGATTATTATATTACTAGAGATAAAAATAATCTTGATGAACCTAAAATCTTTAAAAAATAGTTCATAAATTTGTTAATTACATTTTTTAAAAAACAATTTTACCTCCGTCTTATACTTAAATTTCAATTTTGTTTTATTAACTTAAACTCTGTTTAATCGACATTCTGTGCGGGTCAAGTAGTTGCGCAGATTATTTGTGCTCGCGTGGGCAATGGCTCGCATGATTAATGAAGTAATGTGTTAGCTAACGGTTCTTCTGTTTTGAAGTGTTCCAACAAGTTAAGTGCACTTCAGCGTGGAAGAACAAAGCTAGCCGAGCTAATTTGCACAAATGATATGTAATGCATAAGAACGACTTTGTGAAGAAAGTTCGAATATTGTTTAAGAGTTACTGATAAGTTTGAGCATATGATAGTTTACAACCAGTCCCATAATTCAGAGATGCCTGAACTTCAACAAGAAGACAATGCAGCTTTTGATCAGTAAGTTAAAGTTTTTATATAAGTTGCAGTTATAATTAAAAAAATTTGCAGTAAAAGCAAAAGTTCAAAATGAGTATTTTCAAAACAGATTTTTTCCTGTTGTTTATTTGTACGACTTAATGAGATTTGAAGCTTAGAATAACTTTTAATTTACTTGTAGAGTGTGGCAATGTAATATTGTTTAAAATTATTTTATTGCATAAAAACCTATTTAGAAACATGAATATTGATCGAAAAAAGCATACATCGTATAGTATAAGAGACATTCTTGGACTTAAAGAGGGAATAAAATCAAACGGTGAAGTGAGTTTAGGCAATAGCTTTGTTGACGCAATACCTTCAACTCGGTCACCTCAATTTCCTGAAAGTGATTCGGTTTCTTCTCCAGAATCTTCTAGATCACCAACATCACCTTCTTTAAGAGTGCAATCATTAAATATTGGAGGAAGCATATCCGGAGGTAAGATAAATTTGTTAAATGAAAGCAAATATAATGATTACAAAGCAGTATTATTAGCAGAGGCGGTTCTACAAGTGTATGTGGGGGTTGCTTTACCTTTTCCTACCTCACGCTTTCTTAAAGAAGGCAATTTTCAATCTATAGTTGCCTAGAATCGCCTCTGATTATCAGAGTCATTTAATAAACATCTATTATTATAGTTACTATAGTTACTTTAGTGATTAATAAGGAACTTAGAAAAGCTTGGTTTGGGTTGAGAATTGTTAAGGTTACAAATAACAAACGGGTGCTAAAATCAATATTACCCTATAACACTGTTGGTTCAATTTAAAAGTTGCATAAAAAATAAATCTTCACCAAAACAACCGTTAAGTTGGGTAATGTTACTTAGGTTAATGAACAGTAAACATGCACAAAAATTTTTTGCAGTCACACAAAGTTATTATTAAACTAATTTGTTTACACTTCACAAACCCAGCGTTGATACTACATTAACAAACAAAAGCATCATACTAAAACAAACACTAAAGACATTAAACAATACTATAATTTTTTCTAACAACGCTAAATTATGGTAATAATTAAAATCATTGATAAAGCGCTAATTGCATTAACAGTGAGCGTTATTGACACAAAATTAAGTAACACCAACATAGGACACTATTGACACAACACCAAAAGAAGCTATTCAAACAATATTATAATAAAACTTAATTCAAATGAAAAAACACAAAAATTAGACTTCTGATACGTATGGAAAAAATTAGCCCATGGTGCTATTAATACAAACCTAATCAACACAGGGTACAATTTATACAACACTGATACTGCTGTAAAAAAAAATAATGTTTTTTTTACTAACGACTGTAAAAAAAAAAAAAACTATGTTTCTTAGCGTTGCATTAGTGCTACTAATGCAACACTAAGAAACATTACTATTGACATTTTTAGTACTCACAAGTCCCCACGATTAGGAAAATTTAATGCAGCACATAACAAAACTTTAAAAACGACAGTAAACAATACTCAAAGATTGATACGACTGCATAACAATATTAACGTAGAACACTAAACAACAATACTTAAGTGTTGTTAGTAGTACCTTGAGTCACTATTAATTGCTTGACAACGTCATAAAAACTGTTGATCA